CGCATCGTGGGACAGTAAAGGTAGGTTCCTGATTGCTACGTGGGACTGGAGTTGAAGATACAGCGATGGACGACGATGGACTACGCGCAACGGTACGTTATTATAAATAATTTATTCTTCTCACATAAAAAGCACCTCATGTTACAAAAGTTGCTTTTTTATATATATTCTCTTTAAATTCTCTTTAAATTCTCTTTAAATAGCCTGGAAAAAAATATCCTTTATATATGGACATATCCTATATCTGATGATGTTTAATTAGATACAATCATATGAGATCTTCTCAATCTCATACGAAATTATTATGTATACCTAGATATAGAATTTGAGCATATATAAAGGAAAAATAATAATTTAGAATTAAATAATCGATTATGCTTCATATCTCTACCATGAAAATTTTTGAGAAGAATAAATTATTCTCTGCATGAGTAGTAGTCGCACTGATTTTTCAATATATCGTCACTCAATATAATCTCGTAACTCCAAAACGCAAATTTTAGAGGAGAACAGTTTAAAAGTTTAAAGCTTCATATAGTTTTCCTAGTTAAGGGATCTTTCGNTTTCAAATTTTTACTTTACTTAGAAATATTTTTTTTTTAATTTGGCGACCACAAAGAACGTGACTTCCTAAGTATCACTCATGCAATAAAGTGAAAATCCGGTATGTGACACTTATGTAATTATACATAGGGAGTGACGATGTATTCTTTTTTGATGAAATTTCCATATATTTGTATATTGTGTGATTTAAAACAATATTGTAATATTTCTTCTATATATGTGCTTTTTTTATTTTTTTATATATATATATTTATCTACATTTTCTGCATTTACTTTCATATTTCTATATCAATTTCTCTTAAAGAACCGATATAGAATTCTTTTTAGAGACTTATGTTCTTTTATACTTCTATATCAATTTCTCTTAAAGTACTGATATAGAATCTTTTTTTAAAAACTTATATTCTTTATATCTTTTTTCTACATCCACTTTTTTATTTCTATATCAATTTCTCTTAAAGAACCGATATAGAATCTTTTTTTGGAAACGTATGTTCCTTATATCTATTTTCTACAATTTTATTCTTTTCTATTTTATCTTTGCAAAAATATATATTTGAAATATATATATTGAAATATATATTTTTTCTATCTACTATAAAATAGAAATATATCTATCTCTTTTAAGTATACATGATGAGCTTTGAAGGATAGATATATTATTTTTCAATCATAAAATCTAAAACAAAACTCGGACGTGAAACTCAAAATATATTTAAAATAATACTTTCTAATTTTAAAACAACTGCCCCTCGCGTAAAATATTTGATGATAGATTTTAAAACTTTCCCAAGGTGATAGGTAAATAGATATCTGTATAGGTAGGGATGCGTATCTACAAGCGCTTTGTAGAAAATAAATTAGGCCGGGTAGGTAGGAAATATGTTAGACCGAATAAGTAGGAAGAAATCAAAATCATGTAAAATTAGGATCAAGGCTGTTATGCAGCCTTAATCCTAATTAATAAGGCTAGTAACGTTTAAGATATGTCAGATGTCTAAGGTAGGTAGGTAGGTAGGTAGGATTAGATATAACTATGTATATATTAGATTATATAATATTGTATTATATTGTATTATACTGTATGTTATATGTAATAAATATGTAATAGAATTGTATTCTATTGTAATTTATAAAACAATTGTAAAATGAAACTTGGAAATAGGAAACACACTGATAAAGAGTTTTAAATAAAAAAGCAAAAGCTATATTTTTTGGAATTGCAACTTTTCAGACATTATTTATATTTGTGTACCGTTAAAACACCTTTGTATAATATACATGGTTTTTTGTGTATTTTGTATCTCTATATATATATATATGTAGTATTTTTAAAAAAATAAAATAAAATTTATAAAGCACAGAGCAGCAAATGATGATGTAAAAGGAGATGATATTTGACTACACTCCACGAATTCTGATGTTGCTCGCTGAAATAAGATTCTTTTCTTCACATCTTTTCTGGTATATCACATTTATGTTGTACGAAAAGTTGCAATAATTTTTCTTATCCTTTTCTGTTTTCCTTTCTCATTTTCTCATCACGAGATCGGTCATTTTAAATTTCAAAAAAAATTAAATTCACGCTCTCGAGTATAGTTAAACTCTACCGGTTCCGGCATAAGTTAACAGTTATTGCCCGCATAAACCAGGCCTCACTGACAACACGTTAAATAAAAATAACAATAGCGTGCGCGTAGCGCGGGCCTGTGTTGTGCTAGTAATATAAATTACAGTCACGTTATTTTCACGTGTTGTCTTTCTACTCTGTAAAAATTCTTAGAACTCCTCTCACGTTAATATCCTGAGGATATTTCTAGGTATAGCATGAGGCGCTCATTTGGGATGTCTTCTGGATGTCCAGAGGACTTCCACATGTGTACTATCTGGGAAGTTATGAGACGCATAATTGCATGAATAATCGCATTGGAAAATAAGAATATTTACATAGTGCATTATAATTTAGTGCGTGTGCACATATACGACGTAAAAAAAAAAAAAAAAACAAACAAACAAACAATCCAGACAGAACAAAAACTATTAGACACACATTAGACGTTACAAAGCTCCACGCGATATCCAGTAGATGTCTAATGGAGTTTTTCTGTTCTGTGTGGAAAAAAACAATACAAACTTCTGGTTCTGCTAATAATATCCGTGCCGTTACTTTTTACCTAAATAGAAATTTTTTAATAGAAATATACGCGCAAAATAAAAGAGAATTGACCATGTTGTTACGCGACAATTTAACAAACTGTATTTTCTTGTATAGAAAAATGTGTTACATAAATTGCGCGCGATCGAGAGAACGATCACTTCGTCGATTTACGTTTCTTCCGCTTCTTCTCGTTATCCTTAATCACGTCTATGTAACTCGGAGTGCATTTTGATATCGGATGCTCGACGGGCGCGTTCACAATCTGCGTCCAGATGATCGAGGCGATCGCTCCCAGAACCCGCGCCATAAAAAATATCGTCTGATTGAGTTCCATGTTTTCCATCCCGTACAACTGAAATCGAATCATCGCGATAAGAATGTTTTCAAATCTCTGTTTTGCTCGCGCAATTTCCATTCTCCTCGTGCGAAGATGCGCACGGCGATTTCTTCACCTGAAAAATAGTCGCGGCCAAAGCGCTCTGCTCCGGATAAATGTCCTTTCCGCGCGGTCTTTTCATCGTCGATCTCAATATCCGCGTAATATCTTGCAAGAGCTAGAAAAAAAACGGTTTCAATTTTATCTCTCCTTCCGACGAAGGGGATATATTTCTTTTTACCGCGCGCATATATTGTATATGTATATATATGTATGTGTATGCACCTTTATTTCGGGATTATCGGGCAGATATTCTCGGGCGTAATTTAAGAGAGCCGTGTATCTCGGGTCGCAGAAATCCGCCTCTTTGTGTCCCACCAATTTGTCGCCGCTCGATAGATTTAGCACGCAGGCTTCCAGCGCGTTTTCCGTCCACGTTCGACCGAGCATGTTTCGTATCTTTCTTTGCAATTCCGTCCACTGTAATGCGCGGATAAGAATAACAGAAGAGAAAACAGAGTCTGAGGGGGAAGTTCTCTTTGTGTATTTTCAACGATTCGATACCTGCAACATCGTTCCGGTTTTGGGCTCGTTCAGGTACATCAGAACGCTGCTCGCCAATATCTCGTGCAAATTGAGATCGGTCGAGCCCAAAATTTGCACAACATGAGCGGGCGGAGCTCCGCCGTCATCGTCGCTGAAAAGTCATCGAGTTTCGCTCTTCTTTGTACAATATATTTTTAGTTCTCGAAAAGAGAAATGAAATTGACACACGTTACATAACGTTTGTAATCGTTACCGTTTAGCAAATTGTTAATTCGAACGTCAAATTCGCGATTTGTTTGTCGAAAATTTACTCTCGTTACTCGAACGATCAAATAATATTTTTTCGCGGCTTATACTTACGCGTTCAGAGTGACGTAGAGTCTGAAGAAGTCAGCGATCGATGATTTTTGACTGTCGAAACAGTCGTTCAGATTCGACAGACAGTCCGACAAAAACTTGGCCCAATCGCCGTCACCGCTCACGTTTGTCAATATTTGATTGTTCGCGATCAGACCGATGATCGCCGGTAAAGTTGCCAGAAACTCCATACCGTCCTCGTAAGTATACTTGAAATCGAACATACTCGATGCGTAAAACAAACGCGTCGTTTTATCTCTCTCGCATAACGTCAAGAAAATTATGATAGACGATGTGTTAAACCCAAGTGGATATTACGCAACAACCGTTTATAATGAAAAGTCAATAGTTTCTGTGCCGGGAAAAATAGCGCTTTCTCTTTGCCAATTAGCTTCAATTACGGAGCTCGCAAACCTCCGAGAGAGAGGAGACGTGTGTTGAAACTTTGCAAAAATTTTGCATCACAATAGTTTATCTGAAGTTTGCTAATTTTCTGTCATCACAATTTTTTTACATTAAGTAAATAAACTTTGTTTCACAATTTTCTCTCATTATATTTATATATCTCTGTGTAAATTTAATTAAAATAATATAAAAAAAAAATAAGTCTTTTTATTAGAAGAGTTTTTTTTAATTATTAAATTATTAATTAGAAATTCTTTGGTGTAATTAAAATTATATTTTTAATTACCTCCCAATAACTGTACGGCATGGCGCCCAGTTTTTTGGCTTTTTTCGCGCGCTTACTGATGTCGAAAATTGTTAACGCAATCGACAGTTTGTGCAACGGCGTAATTGTCTCGGGAACGGAACGTAAAACGGAAACCACTGTTTCACCTCGCGACCCCGACCACCATTCCTTGCATTTCTGACGTCGTGACGTCCAATCGGCAATCAGCGAGGCCGTTTGCCGTTGCGTCGGGACGTCGCCGGTCAGAAGAAGCCAAAACACAGCTTCCGCACTCGGTTGATTTCCTTGACGAGGTAACAGAGATATCACTTCCGGCATGGTCAGTCCGCGATACATGATCTAAAGAAATGGGAACGGGGAAAGAGGAAATCAATGAGACACGCGTCACGCGTGAATCAGCGAACGTGTTATTCGTGAATTTATATATTCAAAAATTTATTCAAAATTACTTTTTTGCGTTGGTTTAATATTAAACCTTTGCAGAATATTATAAGTAAGAAAATTATTTAAGAAAAACTTGTTTTTACTATGAAAAGCTAAAGTAATTAAATAAAAGTGTGAAATGATTTTGCAAGTTTTCGCGATTGAATATATATTTCGCGATTATTACGCCGTGTTTGGGATCGACCTCCGCGGTTTCCTTGACGAGAGTTTTCACGTCGCTTAATCCATCGTACAAATTCTCGACCGTGATCTGGCTAATGATATTCGGTCCGAAGTAACGTCGAAAGTTTCGCAAAAGATCGTGATGAACGGGTATCTTCTCGTTAAGAGCCTCTTTAAGATTTGTGCTCGTGCTTGGCTCCCCTTTCGTCTTGCTTATCTTTGAACAAACGAGAGTTTAATAGTCAAGTAACGACGAATAGAGAGAAATCTTTAAAATTAACTTAAACTAAAAACAAAGAATCCACCAATGTGTGTCGCACGCAATGTTATCGGAATGTAAATTATATACATGTGTGTGTTATAATTAAATCAAATTTTTTTTACTTGAACGTTATTTTTTTCGATGCATTTTCAAATACTCGAAATTCTTCGATTCGTAAAAATCGCAACTAGAACCGCACGTTGACGACAAAACTCTCGCGGGGGATTACATAGCAAAAAAAAAAAAAAAATAGATAAACTAATTCGCGCGAATTAGTCGCAATTTCGTACTTCGATAAAGCAATTCCAACCGTCAATACGTGCTGTTCTCCCCTTCCGAAGGTTGTTTTCGTTCTACCGGACGTGGTGCAATTCTTTCTCCCGTCCCAACGAGTGTACAGATAACCGCTTTTACATCGGAATCCTCTTGATAGGTGGTGAAACATGTTTCACAATAACTGCGCGGATTGCGCAAATCACGAAAGAAAGAAACAAACTGCTTGGAAGCTGCGGGCTAAACTTTTTCATTCGACGTTCGAATTTTCAATGTTCCTGTGTTCGTGAAATTAAACGCGACAAATTTTTAGCTTTTGCCTCGGAGAGACATTTTTTGACGTTTACACACACACAGAAAAAAAAAAAAAAAAGCAGAAGCGAGAATTTTTAATTTCGCTGTTTCCACTTTTTTGAGCGCACGCGTGCTTCAGTTTGTTCTTTTATAACAACCTTTGATAATGGTATCTCTATGGAAATATTGCGATAGAAAAGGAATCGAGATCAGGGTCAATGGTATCACGCAAGTGGAGAAACACAAAGTGCACGGTCTTGGGAACGAAAAATCCATAAAGCGGCGACCGCGAAAATTGTGACAAAAGAACATATAATCTCTGCACGCTAATATCTCGCTGGTTTTTATTGCGACTTGTCGTGCACGTGTGCATACAAAATAAGAGATCACATATCACTTGTTGTAGGTTGCACAATGTTCGCTCCCGTCGACTAGCGCACTTCGTACTAGTTGCGCTTACACACGGTCACACTGACACAAGTCGATGCGGTCGCGCGACGCGGGCGAGAGAGTCGGGACCAAAAGAGGAAATAATAATTTATTTTTTTTTGTCAAACACTTTCAACATTCGCCCTCGGGAGGAGTGCTTCTTTTTTTTTTTTTTTTTTTTTTATTTATCTTATAATATTTTATGTGTCGGTCGCGGTTCTCTCGCTACCGGGCCCGTCACACACATCGAAAGTTTTAATATCGTCTACAATATACTCATACAAACGTCCAACGAACACATGATTGCGTATTACAAAATGTTTCCGGTTAGTCTGCATTTGTGCAATTGGAGTGAGCGGTTTTTTTTTTTTTTTTTTGCGGTAATACAGGGGCATTTCCCTTCGTGTGTTTTTTTTTTTCTCAGAGGTCGCGCGTATAATAGCTTCTCAACGCGCTTGTGTTAGATTGAAATGTATTATGTTGAAATATATATATATATGTATATATAACAAATACTAATTAATATCGATAACGTTTCTCTATTGCTAGTAATACAGTGCTCTACGCACACGATAATGGCACGTTGCGTTACAGGTTTTTGTGTGTGTGTGTGTGTGTGTGTATATTTTCTTTTTTTTTTTTTTTTTTTTAACAACGGCGGTGTCGCAAAGAAATCCGGAGGGATGTGTGTCCTTGTTGTGCCACCTCGAGAGATCTAGAGATATTGTTAGAAATTACGTGCGCACGGATGTTTGTTTTTTTTTCTTGCATTTCGACTTAGAGTACATAAAAATGGTAACAACGTTAAGTATGCAATACATGCCGGTGTGTGTGTACGTGTGGGTGATTTATTTTTAGATATACAATATGTATATAACATCTCGTAATATATATATATATATATATATATATAATTTATTTATATAACATTTTAACGATTACGTTTTTCCTCGCGAATAATTTAACTGTGTTTTTTTTTTTTTTTTTTTTAACGTTAAATCAATATAACCAGTTAACGCTTAACAGTATAGTAAAATATATATGTGTATGTATATATATATATATGTATATATATATATATATACTATTGCTTCCTCCCTCTGCTCCAGGTACCTATCTATTACTGATTTTATTATTAGGCCGAATGCAGCGCGAGAGGTGTGTGAGGGTTGAGCTAAAATCAAGTTCGCGCTGCATTTTCCCGTTTTCTTCGTATTTACTTTATCGTAATTTTTTTTTTTTTTTTCTGGCTTTTGTTTCACTCCCGGTTCTTAATAATCCCGCTTTCTGTGAGAACTTTGTTATACTTATCGAAGCATTCGGTGATTGGCACGGTCTTACTTTGTTTGTTTGTTTGTTTGTTTGTTTGTTTCGGAAATTGCGAGTTTTATTAAAATCGATTTGTAATTTTTCAATGAAGACGCAAAGAGGTGACTTTGAAAAAGGCGCGTCGGAAAATGGAACTCGTCAAAAATTATCAACAATTTACAGTTTATGTAAAAAAAAAAACGATCTTTGAAAATAAATTCGATCTCTTCCCCCTCTTCCCCTTCTCTCTCTCCTCTCTTCATATAAATATAACAAATGTAACAGCGCAAGAGGATAGATCCTTCCTTTCGTTAAAATTTAGCGATGATTTTTTTTTTGATTAGATTACAAAATTCTCTCGTATATGTTTCAAGCTCGCGGTGCGCTTCACCGCGCGCGTCGGCAGCGGATTCTTTTTTTTTTTTTTATTTTTTTTTTTTATTTTTTTTCGTTTGTTTTAAACCGTCAACGTATGAAATTTCAATATATTATTGTCGCTTATTTCGAAATCACGCTCTGCACGCGTGCGTAACTCGTGCGAGTTCGGGCTTTTTCGAGAAAATTTACATAATTATATTCGTATGATTGCCGTCATCATTGTCGACCTGTGTCACACTCAACTCGATCGAGCGAGTCATTGTTCCGGTTTCATCGACTGAGACCGAATGACGCGCGACACGATGCCGCGTATCGACGAGGATCGACGTCGAGCGTTATTATTACCGGGCACTGTGGCACACCTGGCGGATAGCGCGTCCTCGCGCGCTAACGCACGGTCCACGATCCTCGTGATCTTGCCCCGTAGCAGGCACATGAGTTATTCTCATTGTCAGAGAAGACTGCACTTCTCGCCGCTGTCGTTCGGATTGGAGCGCATCTGCTGCGATGTAGCGGCTGCCGGCGAGGTCGGTCTGCCTTCTATCGCCTGGATGCTCTTCATCAGTTCCCGAAATACCTATTTTAGTCAGAAAAGTTTTGCCGTTTTAGTCGCTCTCTCTTTCGCGATATTTTCATATCTAGATCGTTGTAATATTCGAATCGCGCGTGAATAATTTGTGTTGAGATTAATTAATTAATCAATTAACACGGTAGTTTGACTGTTGAAATTATTTATTGAATTGTTGTCAGCGTCAACACACAAGATTTTGCAATTTGATTTCGAGAAACTGATTCGAAACGTTCGCTCGAGAGAGCTAGCGCCTATAAATATTCAGATTCGCACTGTAATACAAACGCGCAAATATAAGTACACGTTTTTTCATAACACACGAATGTGTCGGAAACAAAGTTTTTTCGAAAAAAAAACTTATCTCGATTTTCGCGACAAATTTTTTTTATAGTAGATTTGCGTTTCGAGAGAAAGTTATATATTTTTCAATTATTTTGTTCATTCGAGCGCGATTTCGACGTGGGATTTAAAACTTGAAAAGTTAATTCAACAGCAATATGCTACGCGCGGAGAGATACAATATATATATACAGATTGGAGAGAGATTAAATGTGTAATGCGCACCTGCACCACGCGACAGTTAAATCTGGCGCTGCACTCGACGTAACCGCATCTCCAGTGCTTCCGGACGAGATTGACGATGTCTCGGTACCTGGAACCGGAAGCGACGGCCTGCGACAGTTCGTCCTGCTTGTTCCCGACCACCAGCAGCGGTACGCCTCTCATGTCGCGGGCCTCGTAGATTTGCTCGCGCAACGTTCTGATGTACTGAAACGGGGGGATCGATCGAAAAAGCAAAAGGTCAGGCACGGAAGAACTCGAGTTCACGTTGAGTTTTTTTTTTTTTTTTAACATTCTTTTTGCACGATTGCATAGATACGATTTTTCAACGCGCGCAATCTTGACGTTTGATTGTGCATGCACCGAAAAAAGTATATTCTTGTAAGTAGAAGATTTTATACTTAAAAAATCTTCTTCAAGATTTTAGATGATATTCTTCTGAAATTAAGAATATATTCTTTATTTAAAAATATATTCTTTATTTAAGAATATAGTCTTTTTCGATAGTGAGATATATATGTTTTTCTATAGAGGCTTTTTTATATTCTAATTAGTATACTATATATTCTTATCAATGTTACTATTTAGAGGATTTTCCTCTTAAAATAAGAAACTCTTCTTGACGCCTATTTTAGTATAAAATATACCTAAAGTAAGTGGGATATCCTCAAAACAAGAATACAATTTTTTCGGTGTGCGAATCGTAATTCCACGTAAAATAATGCGATTCAATAATGAGAGAAAAGTGCAAACACACAGGTGCACCTACTTATGTCACTTTTTTATTCGTCACAATAATTATACTTTTTATTTGTGAACACTTTTTTGTTTTTTAGTTGTCGATGAACAACAATCGATCCTTGCGACCCGACGGGCGACTCTCTCGCAAAAGTTGCGTCCCGTTCCCCGCCGCGAGGGAAACCCCGCGTTTCGTCACCCGTCAAACAGATAATCAAACTTTTATTCCGGCAACTTTGACGTAACTTCGAGTCGGAAAGTGCGACGACAGCGAGAGAAAAAGTCCGGGTGGCAAAAAGAACGTCGGAAGAAGAGCCGAGCCGAAACCGTAGTTTCGCCGTCGAGTTTCTGATGGTTTTTTTTTTTTTTTTTTTTTTTTACAATATCAATTTCTTTCCCTCTGTCTCGCGGTGATTTTATCGGCATGCAATTTGTATTGTCGGGGTCTCATTACTCGGCCGGGCCGATACGCACCTGAAATGTGTCCTGATTGCTTAGATCAAACACGAGCACGTACGCGGTCGCGCTCCGCAATCCGTAATAACGAAAATCCGTCCATTCCAGGTGCGAACTGACCGGGAAGTACGGAATGGTCGGCAGATCGGTGATCTTCAATTCGTACAGCCGATCGGCGAGCACCACGCTCGGATAGAACGTCTCGCGTCTCTCGGTTGGTCTGTACTCCTCGGAGAACTCGCTCCAGACAAATTGCTGGAAGCAGAAAACAAAAGTCATCATGCAACAACTTTCGCATTAAAAAAAAAAAAAAAAAAAAGAAGCGAATGAAAAATAAACGAGCCGCGCGCGCGCTACCGAACTATAAAGTCAAACCGGGAAACGAGTTTTCTCTCGGACGTGTTTTGAATTTGAATTTCATCTTTCGTCGAAGATGCGGGGGGAACCTTTCTTGGGATGCGCATTTCGTCGGGCCTTTTAATTTCCTCGGCAATAGTCGATAGTCGTTGCCATCGATAAGCGGAAACTATTATCGGAAATGAACGAGAGCGCTCCGAGAGGAGACTCGTTTCCGCGATTTTGTTCTCTTCCTGGCGTTTGAAACAAAGATTCCGTCGACGACTTTCTCGCCTCGATCGAAAACGAGAACCGCGCGCGCACGCGTGGCGCGCAAAATCGCGTTTTCGCACAAAGAGAAAATATACTCCGGAGCGCGAGAAATAACTGGAGCGCGATACTTCCTCTACCCCAAATTAACAAACATATAATTACATAAAAAAAAAAAATAATAAAACTGTAAATGCAAATGTGTCAATTAGATTTTTTAATGAAAATAATTTCGATGTATTTTTTTTTTTTTGATAAATTTGGTAATTAAAAAAATAATTTTTAAAACCAGAGAAGATTTCGCGCGATAATACCAGCGATTTATGGTTGAGCGCACGTTCGTGTCGTTGAGGGATCTTACTCGGATTATGCTTGTCTTTCCCACGCCGGGCGCGCCCAGGAAGATGATTTTAACGCGATCTAACGTGTCCGCGGGACTGTCCTCCTCTTTCGATCCGCCTTCGGCGCCTTCGTAGGTTATTGTGTTTCCGCCTCGCTTTTCCAAATAATCGAGATCCAGCTCTGCAAGCAGAGACAGCAGAAAATGTGCACCACGCAAGTCTATAAAGCGCAACCGGGTACATCGGGTGAGAACTTGTTGCTCTCTCTCGGTGTTACAAGGTGTGTCAAGATACTTTATAACTTCGGGACCTAATTTCCGGAGGGGGGTTAGAAATGTTGCGATGAAATACCAGTTGCTCTCTCTCTCTCTCTCTCTCTTCCTCATTTTGAATAATTGCGCGGCTTTGCTGCAACTTATATCACTTCGAAATCTCTCGTGTAAAATCATGCAATTTTAATATAACGTCGAAGATATATATATATATATATACGTGCAAAGATTAACACGGTGTGATTAACTTTCAACTTATATGAAGTTCAACAACTTCATTTCGCGCTTTGTACAAAGAGCATTTGTGTGAATGAACATTTCACAGAAGCTTGTCTTGTCGGAACACGTTAGAAACGAACAAAGCGTCGAAAATTCGAACCCGACGATTCTCAACGGTTTAAATTTAAATATTCTGTTGTAATTAATCTTGTGTGTGTGTGTGTGTGCGAGAACGAATAGCGTTTCTGCGCAAAAAAACTTCATTCTTAACTCACGGCGAGTCCGCAAATCGCAAGAGAAAGAAGGAAACGTACTCTGATCCGATAGAATCAATTAAATAATTGACGGAGAGCGCTCGAAGGGGAGAGAATCCACTTCGAGAACGCGAGGGGTATAACAATTCGAACTTTATACACGGTTATATATATACACGGTTGGAACATCGTCACGCAAAATTGCGAGACCTATTTTGTGAGAAAAAAAGAAAAAAGTCTAAAAAAGTTCACGAGTAAGTATTCCAGACATTTGTTTTGTCGACTTCGCAACGTTTCTCGACCGCGTCAGTCCTCCGTGTCGGGAAAAATATATTATTCATGAAGCGAGAGAGAGAAAGAGAGGAGAGAATATTTTTACACGTGACCCGTAAATCGTAATACATCGTATATATATCTTTTTGGGGTCGAATTCGCGCTTGTCTTTGCAAATATTTTATGCCACGAAATTACTTTGCGATTGTGCGGAATGGAAAACATTGTTTGTGCGCGCCGCTCGTTATTGAAAGGATTTAATTTGCGAACACATGTAGGTCTCTTCATTCCGCGAAGAGAATATTAATTACAGACGCGAGTCGCGAAGCGCGTTCGCAGAAATTTTCGCGGATTTGTAAAAAAAAAAAAAAAAACTTTTCGAGTCCAATGTCTTCGATTAATATTCGTATACGGAATTTTTTTTTTTTTTTTTTATAAAGGCTGCGTGTGTTGTATTCGACCGCGTGTGTATTATGTGCAACAAATTGTTGTGTGCGTGCGGATAATTACATGAATTTAATCCCGCTTTCTAAACTCGAACGCAGAAGTTCGCGTCGTCGCGTAAATTAAATCTTCGAAACGCACTAGCTATAACGGAAATCGATCCCCGATTCGCGATTAAATGGGTTAATGAAGAAAGCTAAGTGTGCTTATGACACACACACACATACACACACACACACATGCTTTTCATCGCAAAATGACTCAATAAACAACAACTATCTTATTTTTTGTACATACATCTTTTTTAAATTGTCTCGTAGAATTAAATTCGTGCTCTATCATATATTATTCGTTCAACAAAATAATTAAGCAATATATATATATATATATATATATATCTCTAGCATGCATCGGTACGGATGAACTTATCGAGTGTCTTGTGCGAACAGGTCTCGTTTACCCAAAAGTCGTTTGTTCGCGCGTAAGCTTGATAGTGTTTCATTGTCTCCTAGCGAGCGATCCATAAGATTTCAGGTTCAATTAAGATATCGCAAGAGAGAAACGCGACACGGGGGGAGGATATCGAATGTTCATGTCGCCGCGGTCCAAGAACCTTCGCGGTCGAAGTTCGCCGATCGACTGACGAGGAACTCCAGAACACCGTCTCTTCTAACCAGGGATCAACGACCACATGTATGCTTATATATGTGTATATATATTATATATATATATATTTTTTTTTATATACATCAAGAATTATAATCAAAAAAATTTTCCAAATTATTATTAAATATGCAACAGCGAGAAGCAACTGTTCTAATTGTCTTACAAATGTAAGAGACGACCGTTATTGCGATTTTTGCAATTGATATAAACAAGAAACTAAAGAAAATATATAGCGTTATTAAATTAATTAAATTAGCACATTTTTGTATTTAGATACACATGTTCTGTACTCTGTAAAAAGAGAAATACTCATGTCCGTGTTTCATCGTGTTTTATCGGGGATGTAACGCATGTAGAGATGATTTAAATTTTTGCGCAAAATTCTCTTTTTTATCGCGAAAATCTAATTAATCGCAACTAATTGTGTGTCGTGCGCGGTTAAAACAATAAATTGACGCTTTTCGAGATGATGTGTACGTAGACTTTGAAAAAATCTCGTAAATAACAATAAATCTGATCGATATATAACGTTTATTTGATTAATTTTTTCTACTAATTTATGAACTAATTTTTATTTAATTTATTTTACACGTATATCTTTTCGAGAACCGGATATAAGAGCATTCTCGAGAACCTATGAGTGGTACTTACGATGTTGCTTGCGCGGCGGGAGGCTTCGCCTCCTCCAGCCGCTCGCAGTTTTTGTACCTATGGTTATCGGCGACTCGCAAAAAATACCCCAACTTGCACCGTGCCAGTTCCCGTTGACCTCAGCACGATCTCGTTGCTCGAGCCTTCTAATTAGGATGAATTTAATTTTGCCAATTGTTAGTACAACGTTCCCAATCGTGTTTTCCACTTTGTCACTTTCTCTTTTCCTGTTTTTTTTTATTTTTATTTATTTATATATATGTATACATGTACGTATATATTAAATATGTACACAACAAAACATATGTATTAATAGAGAGAGATTGTCTTCTTGAGTTAAAAAAATTATCTCATGTTCTGGATTAATTTTTTTCTTTCTTAACTTTTATGAGATCCGATGTATCGGTATATGTTCAATCTTGTTGACCGACTCCGCCAACAGGCTTTCGTTTCGTCGCTTCATCGAACGATTTCTTCGCTCCACTAATCAAAAAGCAATTCCAGGTTTCCGATATATTTTGTCTCCCCCGTCACACATATCTTCTCACAATTTATATTGTCCCCGGGAGACGTCTGTTGCACCGTCTATTACCGTTACAGACTGGCATTTAGTTACGTAACTCGTTGCACTTCCATGTAAATATCGTATCGCTTGCCCATCTCGTTAATTGCGACCGGACACGTGTGTGTGTGTGTGAATTACGCGTTTCGATGAATGTTGAACGAAATATTGCGTACAAGATCCGAAGATCAAAAGAAACGTGCGCGAGTTTCCGATTATATAGTGTAAGAGAAACGAGAAAAACTTGTGTTAACGTAACTTGCCACCGGACTTGTCTCGTCTAGACTAGCGAGTAGACACGCGACGATCGTTTTTTTTCTCGCGGGTCAATGGCATCGGAGATCCCCCCGAGCACGCCGATCGCGCGCCGCCGATTTCGATCGCCGCGCTGTGACAGAAAATTTATTCCATATACGCTCGGCGGCCGAACTCGATCGCGATCGCGATCGACTCTGATCGGAAATCGCAATCTTTTGATTATCAATCCTCGAGATTCCCTCTGTTTTGGATTTGCGCGCGCCTGGAGCTCGCTTGGATCGGATCCAATCCGCTGCACTCGCGATCAAATTTGGCGAACGGCGTGCGCGTTACGAACAGCACAAACGCGTCCTCTTCCCGTCTGTTCCGTTATTTTATTCCCGTATTTTATTCAACTCTTATTTACCAATCGCACACAGTGAAAAACGAGGACGACGCCAGGTAGATAAAAGGTCACGAGGTGTCGGACGCCATCCACGCGCCAGATATCGTTCTTTACGTGCGCTCCGCTCCTCTCGACCGGGAGAACCGACACTGACAAACGCGAGGACGATCGTCACCGACGATCGTCAATGAAGTCCGTTCGACGACGACGTCCGATCTCTATAGATTCGTCCAATCCTCTCGGCAACGGCTGATCTCGCCTCGCTCGTCGCACGACGGTACATCTTTTATCCGGTGCGCGCGCGATCGCAGAATCCTCTCCGGACCACGAATGATTCCTCCTTCACGGGAGGAGATAGCGAGACCTGGCGCTCCGATTAGGACGATCCGATCGACGGCTGGACGATCACGAGGCACCGACGACACGCGCTCATCAGGCGTGTCTCTGTCACGAAAGCACGGAAGCGCGAGATTTCGGCAGCATCGCGAGAGCAGCACGCACGAGGTGCAGGCGTTTCGGGCAGCACGGCATAGTTCATCCCCCGGACGATCGAAACTACCCCTAGGAGCGATGCCGTCGGTTGCCGCGCCTGCGTGCGACGGGTAACGAGAACGCTCTCCCCGTCGTCGACGAGAGCCCCGTGCGCGCCAATTTCTCACTCGGTTTGCTAAATGCTTATTTTTATGAGCACTTAATAGACGTTGCTTTGTCTCATCCTCTCCCTCCCCCCGTGGTGGCTGGTATCTCGCGCGCGTTCAATATTTTATTAAAAAAAAAAAAAAAAACAAGGAAGAAGGAGAAGAAAACACGAGGAGAGAGGATTCGCCGTCACGCGCTTCTATATTTCACGCTTCGGGTATTTCACACGGTCGGGTTTTTCCGCGTTCAATCCAACTTCTATTAATAACAAGGAAATCGACGTGATCGGGAGAAAAAGTGCGTTTTTTTTTTTTTTCTTAAACGTAGTCTTCGCTCGAACAAAGCGACAGAAGTTGCTACTTTTTTTCCGGTTTCATTAATTTTTTCAGCGTCGGTTTCTTGTAATTACCGACTTGCTCGTAAATCGGATTTGCCGCGCCGCGCGCGGAGATACAGTTTCTTTCTACACGTTAGAAGAATTGTGTGCTCTCTCTCCCCCTCCCTCTCTTTCTCTCTCTCTATTTTTCCCCGCGGGAGCGAGAAGGATGGAAGTTGTAACTCGCGATAATTTATTGGATTTTGCAACTCGAGAGCTACACACATAAAGTTTAATTTCTTAATTTTTCTCGCTTTCGGCACTTACGTAACTGATTTTTCGCCGACGCGTGTTGCAGTTCAGAGCGCGAAGAAAAGATTGTTTGTTTTGTTTTTGTTTTTTTTTTTGTTTGTTTTTAATGAACTTTGTGAGAGAATGGGGGGGAAGGGAAGGTTTCGCGAGAAACTTTTCTCGCGCGCTAATGAAAAATCGCGTTCTCCCGCAGAATTTCTATGAACGTTTATATATCAAGATTTTATTAAATAAATATAGTACAGAGCTTTTTTTGTTTTTTTTCTTTTTTACATAGAGAAAAGACTATCCGATAATGTTATTATAACCTCATCAGTTAGCTTGGTCATTAATGTACACACACGTCAATGTCGAAGTAGGTCGAACTCGGATATCGCATCTATATATGTATATTCATTAACACGGCGCAATTTTTTTTATAATGTAACATGCTTTGTTTTTGGTTTTTTTTTTTTTTTTTTTTTTTTTTTTTTTTTTTTCAGCGGCATGTAGCACGACACGAAGAGAAGACCGGAGTGTCTCACGTCTCGTTGTCGTGAAAACGATATCCGTGTCGACGAACAAGGTACAAGTAAAGAATGAGCAGCCATGCAAGGTGCAAACATCCTTTTACGACGTTATTTTACGTGACGAAATATTGTAATCCTGCTAAATACTATGTAATATCAACACCGAGATGTTATTAAATATATATAGATATATATATATATATAATATTAATTTTTATATATATATAAATATAAATATATATATATATATATATATAAAACGAGGTATACATCAGTTAGTACACGCTTGTTTCATCAAACAACGTGTGGTTACGTGTAACGAAAATATATATATATACGTTTCACACCTTATATTTATTCAAGTCTAATTGTTCGATAAATTGTATAATTAGGTAATCGTATATATAATAATTGACGCACACCACGTATCGATCGTGTTTCTTTTCTCAACGAGAAACAACGAGACTAGATATCTATTTTTCTCTCTCTCTATCAGGACGGATTTGAAGCTATTTATCTTATCAATTCCTAATCGGTGACGGACAAACTTCGTTACTCGAATTCTTCGGTTGGTGCGTGAGACAGGAATAAGATAAGAAGTTAAGTGTCTCTTTTCCTTGGATGTGTGTGTGTGTGTGTGTGTAGTTTCATCTCTACCGGAGGGTCAGATAACGCTATTAGATCGGTATTATATATGTGTGTGTGTGTGTGTGCTATCTGTGCCACAATACAGTATGAAGTTTTACTTAATAACAGACACTTAGAGAAAAAGAAGAAGGAAAGTGAAAAATTAATGTAAATTATCTAACAAGCTGTAAACATCCGTGAAATAAAAAGCCGGTAGCGCGTCTAACAACAATAATGTAAATTCATTGTTTAATTGAGAGAAATGTGAATTGAAATTTTTTAAAAGATCGCCGTGCGTGTTCAAAACGCGTTTACAAAAATACATGTAACCATTGTTGATTGTGTGACAACGATAAAGCGTGCTCTATCGTCTCGTGTAATTTAAATAAATTATTATATAATAGTTCCAGCGCCGCGTTACACACACTCTGTTCTACTAAAAAATATATAATTACCTTATTTACACACGTTACATTTTCTCTCCCGAACGTTAATTGATACACACACGTTTTGTTTGTTTTTCGTCGTTCGCGACGCGAAAGTTTGAAAAATGTAAGAACACGTTCGAGATCCTGTAATAAAGTAGCGAACGACTTGATTGGACTTGAGAATAATGTGTTTGTTAATTTAAATATCGATCGTCATACATCAGAACACGTGTACAAGCAAAATGAATATCAGCGTATGTCTTCCCCGCGAGTATAGCGACTTTATATACGTCGCAACTAATATAACGTGAAAGAAATAAATCGCGCGCGACGAGTGCTTTTATATAAATTGTAATTGTTTCTTTGACTCTGTGCTACTAATATATGCGCAATAGGTGTGAAAAAAAAAAAAATAGAAATATTAAAGCGTTGAAAAGTTAACGTTTCGACGTATGGAAACGTAGTTTTACTTTTTTCATCCCATCGATAATAATTCAATTAATGTTTTTTTTTTTTCGTTTACACACAACTTCGATTAATTTGTTTTTTATCTCGTACTGTATATTTTAATTCTCATAAAATTTTGATACACAATCTCTCTTGCGATCTTTCCGTACGTTTGCGCGTTTCACGATTCTCGATATATATTTTTCTACGCGTCCACGAGAACTTTTTTTTTTTTTTTTTTTTTTACCGAGGATTTCGAGTCGAATGTTTCTGCGTTGGTTCCCTCGTAAATGTTATTTTAAAAAATATACTTTTGCACCGTGTGCAATATATATATATATATATATGCGAGACGGCGTTCGCCTTTGAAACGCGTACAATTGAATGGTTCACTTCAGTTGCACCAACACCATGAAGTAAGTGACCACCGCTCCCAGTACCTGTAAAATTTCGAGAAATCGATGTATAGTATAATAATTTCGACAGTCGTACGAATTTGTTTAAATTACGTAAAAACGCTAAGAAACGAGTGGATAAAGTTAAAAAAACAAACAAAAAATATATCAATGAAAAAATATATTTTACCGAAGCGAACAGATCCAAAGAGACCGTAAAGAATTTCGCCCCCGATATTGACATTGCTTTCTGACACTGCTGGCACACAATCTGAACAAAGGTCTTGGCCTCCTCCGATCCGTCGTACCAGTGACAGGAATAAGCCGCCTCCATCACCGACGTGCTCTGAAAGAACGTAATCAGATTGTGACGATTAATTCCTTAAACCTTTGACGCGCGCGACAATTGCGCGAAATTACATTGGGAAAATTCTTTTTAGACCGTACACTGTCTACCGTCTTTCGTTCTCCTACGCTTTTTTTGTTGATAAAATATAATATTTCGAAATTTTTCCTCTCTCGGAAGAATTTTTTTTTAATTGAGATAAAAAAAAAAACACACCTCTTCTATCAGACGATTTCCAAATATGCAGAACAAAAAGACCTGGCCGAACGTGTAGAGGATGTAGCCGATCGTAGAGGCCGCGTAAACGTTTATACCGTTCACCTGTAACATTTTAAATTCAAACGTGTCAGTATGAATTTTTAATTCCCCGTACGTACAAGTCAGTATATTAACTCATCGACTTCGCATTAAGCTCTTTATTATTTGAAACGATCGATGAGACGGGTAATTTGTTCAGAACCTTGAAAAGAAGAAGAAAAAAAAAAAGAATAATTGCAACTTCCGGCGCGCGAACGCACACTCACCTTTGTCGCTTGATAAGCGAGCAGGGTCAAAGTGATGGTCGTTGTCAGCATATGAAGCAAAAGCGCGAATCCGTAAGCGTCTCCCACGGCGGTGACCAATCTGCGCAAAATTTTATCCAATTATTTATCAAATGCCTGAAATCTGTCGGCGATTAAACAAAAAAAAAAAACGACCGCTTTGTATAGGGAAAACCTCTATTTAGGAGAACTTTATGCCGTCGTTGCGAACGACTGCGTTGCTTTAGCAAGCGATTCATGAAACTTATATTGATAACGACCGTGTGTTAAGTGCACCACGGTCCACGGTTTTTGCATTTAAATCGACGGGGCGATTAGAAAACTAAGTTGAAGAACGACGTCGAGCAAAACTGCTTGCTTTTTTTTTTTTTTTTTTTTTCTATCACGTACATACATACATACATTTCATTTCTATTTCACCGAGCATTCGTCGAGTTAACGCTGTTTCCCTGTAAGTGAATGATCGATATGTCGAAACACCTTGAAGAAAATGCGTTGCGTCTATACCGTTTGTTACACTGAGGTCATCGCTATCACCGAGGAGCCGAATCTCTCGACCGCAAATTTATTTAACTTACGGTTTCGTCACTCCCTACGTATAATTACATAAGTGTCACATATGGGATTTTCAGTTTATTGCATAGTGACACTTAGAAAGTCATGTTCTTTGTGGTCACCAAGTATTAAAAAAAAATATTCATAAGTAAGGTAAAAATTTGAAACCGAAAGATCCCTTAACTAGGAAAACTATATGAAGCTTTAAACTTTTAAACTGCTCTCCTCTAAAATTTGCGTTTTGGAGTTACGGGATTATACGTAGGGAGTGACGGTTTGTTCTTACGGTTTTTTTTTTTTTTTTTTTTTTGTGCGCAAGTCCGAGATTCTCGTGAAATTCTCGATTATAAAGCATTTGACGAGAAAAAGCTTTGCCTTCTCTTTTAGTTTAGACATTAATTTACTCACAAGTGCGCGCGTCTGTGTGTGTGTGTATTTTATGTGATTTTTACAAGCGCATTGTTGACATCTGCTTTTGCGATATCGCAAAAAATTAAAACGGGTATTAAAGATCAATATTTTAATGTTTATATATATTGTTGAATTAATATTTTATCTGTTTCGAACGCGGGGCAATTAAGACAGTAATTGTTTTAAGTTAAACGATGTGTGTTTTCAAATCAAAATTATATATTATTAATTATTTTTCCATTTCTACAACTACAAAAAAAAAAAAAAAAAATTGTAGAATGATGAAATTCGTTCACTGACGATCACGTGAAATTCCGCGGTGTCGCGCGAATGACAAACGAACGATTGGTTCGATGAGGGATTGGAGCGAACGCTCGGTGTGTGCATCTGATATGGGGGGGTGCCATCCTGCGGATAAAAATCTGTCATCGCGTGGCAAGTGGCGAAAACACGTGTGTGCATACGTACGTACACGTGAACGTCGCGGCAAACATATGTCTGTCCCCCTTCTCTCCCGCGAGAGTCGCTCAGTCCGCACAATACACGACCCCCGTTGCGGTCAATATCGCATTTTCTTAGAATAAATACTTCACCACCGTGGGAACACGTGCACCCCGTGCCGGCGGCCAACGAGTGGCTTCGGCACCCCCGCGCGAAGGAATACCACACACACCAGCACCCGTTCGCGCCGATTTTCTTCGCGCTGTTTTTTTTTTATTTTTGTTTTATTTTTTTCCACGAGGAATAGACTCGCCGAATCCGTGTTCCGCATCAGGTTCGGAATTTCGTGGTGCGCGGCGCGATTCCACGCGCTGTTATTTCAAGAAGCACCGGGTGATAAGATACAGTTTCCGTTCGAACGGAAACACTGTATCTTATCACCCGATGATAACGGATCTACGATGTTAGATTGCAACGTACATTATTTTCTTTCTTGTATAATTTATGTTTATTATATTTAGGTCTAGCGGAAAGTTCTGTCCGTTTTTGGAATAAAACAAAATACAAAAATTTTTCTTACCGTCAATAAACTTTATTAAATAATATAATTGCCGTTATTATATTAATGATTTCTTGCCAGCGTGAGGGCAATTTGTATATTCCATTTTTGAAAAATTCAGAAAAATTTGTATTTTGTTTTATTCCAAAAACGGACAGAACTTTCCGATAGACCTAATATATACACAATTTTTTCCCGCATATTTTCCGGATGTAAAATTATTCCCGTGTTTTCTATTTCGAAAAGCAGCAGATTTCGAACAAAATGGTTGCGACCAGGTTCCCCCATCGCGGAAATAACGTTAATATTACATACGCATTGAATTATTATCAATTTGTACACGCGGAAAACATACGACGCGCGATATTATTACGCGAAGGGCTTGTTGTTGGGTTTAATCGTAGAAACGTTGTTGTTTCGCGCGATTTTGTACTCTCGCGAATGTGTTAATTAATTACGATATTTAAGTTTAATCAAAACCGAATGCGCGCGCGCACAAACGCGCGAATTTCGATTTTAATTTTGTGTCAAATTTAAAATTTCACAACGCGCGTGCTAACGAAGCCACGCGTAGCTCTGTGCGCGCGTTTCGCGCGAATATGTGTTATTCATTGAACCGAATTTGGTTTTGAAAATTGCGATTTATTTATTCGCGCAATATTCGCGTTTGACAGCGCGTAAATTAGAATACGCCCGCGTATTTTCAATAATTGAGAAAGCAGTTTAGCCGCGCGCGGCGCGTGTTTGCGCGATAATGTTAAATACTTTACTACACGGGTTGGGGAGGGAGGGGGGCGGAGGAGTCTCGCGAGAGTGTTACGTAAGATTCTGGGTCAGTAGTTCACACACAAGATGCAGATGACTTTCAAAGAAAGTGATCCGTCACTTTGCTCGCGGTAAAGAGGTTTGCATGAATTAACTATGGGACGTTCAGTTGAATAAGTAGAGCAAGAAGAGCACTTTGTATTTCTCTCATCACGTGATATTCAACTGGCTGAATCTCGGGCCGCTTTGTTTCATACGAAACGATAAAAAAAAAAAAAAAATTAGTCCAATCGTCACGAGACTCTCGTCAGATATTCGCAAATCGGCGATCCGGTGATAACAAGAAAATTTTGACTAACTCACCTGACAATGTGTTTGTGTCTCTCGACCCAGTACTTGATGGCGCTCCTGACCAGCATTTCTTGCTTCTTCGTCAATCCGTTCGGGCCCACGCCGCCGTTGAAAGTCATGCCGGCGGTCGGCCGGAAGGTCGCCGTGAAGTCCTGCCGATTGCTGTACACGTTGCGAAGATCCAGATCCAGCATGCTCTCGCCCTGAGGCGGCGGCGGCGGGATCTGAGTGTTCTCCGATTCGCGAAGATGATCCGCGCTACCAGCCTGTAAAAAGAGCAAATTTCGTCGCCACGTAAAGCGATAGTTTGATTATTCGCATGTTTTTTTTTTTTTTTTTTTTTAACGCGAGAGCTCGGATCACACATTTGCGAGGGTAAGAAATTCGACGAACCTTAAACAGTTCGCTGCTGTTCGGTACCACCGTGTCCAGAGTCGCGCTCAGCTCCATGAGAGGTTTCATAATTTGCTTGAGATGTTGAAGCTGCTCGCAGGCAAACAGAAGCCACGAGCAGAAGAGCACGTCGAGGGAATTGGCGTTAATCAACATGAAGAGGACCCAGTAGAATTGGTATATTAGCGCTATCACGTGCATAACTCCCTTGCTGGCGTCAAACGGATAGAACGAACGGATCAGCAGTTTAGGCAGCTGTGTGCAATGAGACAAAATAAATTTTATATCATGCGCAACATATTAAAAAAAAAAGAAATATTTTACTTGCAAAACGTACCGCGTGCAATTTATCCGCGTAACATAACGGGGTTTGAATATTTTCAACTTGATATAAAAAACAAAATGTTTTACGTAAATTGTTACCTCGATAATTGTGGTCTCGTTCGTGACCGGGTCGACTATCTTCCTGACCGGTTCCTCGAAGAAAGTGAGAACGGTCCAGGCGACCGCGGTTAGAACGGTGGTGGCACCGACCAGAAACAGCAACAGCCTCATCTTCTTGATGGCGATCGCGTGATATCTGGCGTTGCTCTCGGCAAAGAGCGGATGTGAATTCGGATTGTTCCATATCGCCCAGGTTCTGTAGAAGTACTTGCTCCTGATGGCGAAGTAAACGACCTTGACGATGCTGTGCGTGAAGAAGAGCATCGTGATCGTGTTGGCCGTGAGATCGTCGACATCGGCGCTTTCGATTATCAGATTCACGCCGCACAGACCGAATTGCAGAAGCAACAAAAACAAGTTCACCTGAAAAAAAAGAGACACGAGCGGGTGTGCCATACGCTTCCTCGATCTTAAAACACAGATTTTGAAATAAAAAAACCGAGAGCAAAACTTACGCAGCAGTACACTTTATGCAAGTACTTGGACGAACTGTCGTCGTAATAATTGAATACAAAGTGGCCGAAGATCTTCATGATCCTTATGTTGGGCATGAGATCGGCCACGAGGCCTTGCTGCTGCTTAACCTTCATCATCTGCGAGCAAAGCGGAAAGCGAAGCTGAGCGTCGAAGCTTATCCGTAACTACTTCACCAACTTTTTTTTATTCAAAGAGAAGAAGATGCGCCCTCGATATTTGTTAAAAAAACTTGAACTAAAACTCGCGATCGGTTTATTATATTCGTGCTTCGCGCGTATACGTGCGCATGACGAAACCCGCATCATGTGTTCGAGACTCACGCAACGATGCGAACGGAAACTTCCGGAAAAAAAAAACGCGCGACTCTTCTTTCGCGCGTCTCGAACGGCAACAAACAAAATATTGAAAAAATTACAAGCGACCAAATAAAACTTTCTCTCGAACTGCCGAAAAAAAAAAAAAACACTTTTCAGGACCACGTCTCTTCGTTTCGCAATACCGGAGCAAAAGTCCTTACCTTGGCGGTTTTGGTCGTTCGGAGTTCCCGTGCGAAGAACTTGTCGAGATGTGCCGCGGGAATTGAATTACGACGCAGCCTTCAGCGCCTCGCGGTTACGTTGCAGCAATCGTGCCAGATATACAAGAAGAACGAAGAAGAGCAAACTGACTAGCCGGCCTGCCATCAGTCGTCGTTTTGCGACTCGTCAAAGCGGTTCTCTGATTTGTTTTTTGGTTTTTTTTCGAAGGACGAAGCACAAAGTACCTTCTGTTGCTGCCTTCCGCTCGCACAACCCTCGGTTACAACCCCCGACTATGACCTGACCGCCGCCACCACCCTGTAGCGCGAATCCCTACCAGCGTGGCAGGCACCAAACGTGGACCAATCGGGGTACCGTAACCGGCCGGCAAGACCGCACGGTCGCCCTGCGCGACGCTCAATCGCCGCCATGTCGGTTTCTTGCACCCCGTTCCCGAGTGTCTACTACGAGGAGGGGGGGTCTATAATCACCTTAATAATTCACCACCGTGGTCTCGCTCACCGCGCAGTTTTCAACGTAAAAGAAAGTTTCAACGAAGAAAACATTCTCAAGTTGTAAAGATGCCTAGAACGGGAGAGGTTTAGCAACTGGTGAAACCGCAACTTCTGCCAAGATTATCGTATCGACGGAAACGATATTTTCCTGATATCGTTTTATACACATACAGCGTGTATACGCAGCGGCGTATGAGAGACAGGCCTTGTCGAATTCGCGATTCTTGCCGTGTCTTCGAGAAAATAAATTTAATCTCTTCGTTAACGTCTTCTCATTTTGCCGCGCGATATTTTATTTCGCGTCGAGTTACGTTTATTAATATTCGAGCTTCTCTTAAGACCTAACTTGATTTTCCGGGCAAGTGTGGGATCAGAATTTTTGTTCCTTTGCGTTTTAAGTGCGAGTTCCAAACAAGCACACATTGCCGGCATCGTTATCATTACACGCGCGCAGGTGCGCGGGAGGTCGATGAAAAAATAAATGATTCGTACGTAAAGCGGGGGAAAAATGACGTAAAACACGTAAACCACACAAATGGGCTGAACATAGTTCGCCGTCGACTGACCTATGTAAGTCTCAACGGTTAAATATGTCACGTGTATCGACTTAAAACGCGAGCTCTGGCAACTTACACAGGGGCATAGAAATTCTAACGTACTGAATTAAATTCTTTTTATTATATTTTGTCATTTGCTCTCTGATAGAATTGCTCCGATAGAATCCGTTAATCAAGCAAATCAATTCCGTTTCTTTAACCGAGCGACGGCTCAAATCAGGTCGAATATTTCCGATCCGATGAGAAAACATCCCGACACACAAGGAAGAGTCTTCGGTGTGAGATAATTACTTTGTAATTAAAACGCGAAAATTACTTTTTTGTTTCGTCAGAGAATTAACGTAACACCTCGGCACCACGGTTTAAAGTCAAAATAACGATTATGCAAATGGGCCACAATTTAACAATTAAGTCGCGCGAATAACGTGAACTATGTAATTAAACTCGTCGGAAATCAGAGAAACAGAGAAACGAATATGCAATTAGATTAAATTGCGAGACATACGAGTAAACAAAAAAATTGTGATAAAGATCCAGGTGAGAAAAAAAAAATTAAGTATGTTTTTATATCGATCGATTAAATAAATCGAGAAAAAATTGTTTCTCGCGGAATTTAAAACTTTTTTTTTTTTTTTTGTTTGATTGCTCGGGCAACCGATTTTGTTGATCGGTCGTTTATACAGCTTGATTTTGTTTTTTTTCGGAGAGAGACAACAAGGCGTGGACGTATCTTCTCGCGCGATATTATATATCTCTCGAACGATACGGAATTGCGCGAATTGGTGAACAATATATTTTAAAATTTATTAATTTATTACACGCGGAACATAATAACAATCTGTGTGTTAATGTATCTCGCTATAATTCTTGAATCTCGCTTCATGATTAGGTTCAACATCATGGTCCGATTCGGTGTCCTCGTGATGCTGTGGTCGTTGATTGCGTGCCTCTTTGGATTCGCGACGAATCGCTCAGGTATTCGAACGTCAATAATTATCTTCGCGCCCGCGACATCTGCAATTGTAATCGAGTATAAGAAAATATGCATTAATTGCATCGTTCATTCAATTTAACCTTTAAATCTATTTTTGCTATTTTCTACCACTTATTTTTCATCGGAACGCTATTAAGTGATCGCACTTATCCTGTTGACAGCGTTTTTACCAGCCGTTTGGGACAAGGCACCGTCTTTGGACGCTTACAAGCGAGTATCTCTCGATCTCGGGATGGGCGAGACGCGGATAACAACGGGCGCGAACAAGATTTCGACGGAGGTGTCAACGAAATTGACGGAAAAAACGTCGGAGATTGAGACACGTGGGAAAAGATTGACAACCGAGAATATCGAAACCAAATTCGTGGTGGGTGACGTAACGTCGTCCTCGACGACGAAGAGCGAAGCGTCCGATTCTGCTTTCCCCAGTGTCGTCGTCGCCGCCGCTCCTCGGAACGTCATTTTGCTTCTGATCGAGAAAGATCAGTTTGAAACGAAGGAGGAAGATCTGTGGAAGAATTACAGACAAAAATTCCCGTTCGCGACTGAAGGATCTCTTCAAGTATTCCATTAATTGCATCAATCATTCTTCGTCGAATAATTTCGAGAGATTTGATAAGATAAATTTAATCTGTTATTATTTTTTGTCTCTCTCTCTTTCTCTCTCTTTCTCTCTCGCTCTTTCATTTGTTAATTAATGATAAAATCACTGTCGCACGCTCACACCCAGTGCTGCGGTGACAAGATCGAGACTAATGAGTCTCTCCTGAACGTTGCAATGATTAATGGGAGCAAGAACAAGGACTGCGATTGCGAACGTATCCTTCGCTCAAATATCGAAGAACTAATGTTCTGGGCGAAATACGCGCGAGGAATGACAACAGGTTTTTACTTTTTTTTTTATTTGCAGAGCGCGTAACAGAATTTATTTAGAAAAAAAAAGTAGATACAAGCGGTGTTCGAAAATTTGTTTGAAGTTTTCAAAAAACGATTTCATTCGGTTTCATTTACCAGCTTCGGTTGGCGGCACCAACTTCACGATCCCGTTGGGATACGAGTTCGAGAACGACGATTCGAAAACGGAATCGCTTAAGAACAAACGCGAGTCCAACGAGATTTGGCGAGTGATCGATCTCGGCGAACGTGCGTCGAAATCCGTTCCTTCGACGATTGCCGGATCTTCCGATTCCAAAACGGAAGGTTTGTCAAATTGAAACGAACGAACGAAGCGGAAGCGGAAAACAAATGCCTAATGTTTTCTTTGCAGAAACGCGGGACAACGAAGGAAGCGCGTGGAACGTTTTCGACGTGTTTTCTAAGATACGAATGGCCTTCTTCCGTTCTTTGCTCGAGACTTTGAGCAGAAACGACGGCGCGTTCGAAAACGAATTTTCGCCGCGGCGATTTGACCGTTTCAAACCAACCGTGACTAATTTAATCGAAAGCACGATCAGAGAGATCAAATCCGCAACGAACGACAAGGGTTACGCGTTGGTGGCTGTGGTGCCGAGAAGCGAGCGAGTTGTTGCCGTCGATCTTCTTCAGCGCGAAGTAAATTGTTTTCTAATAAAACAAAAACACCGATTACAGAAAATGAACGTAATTTGCGTTCGATATAAGCTGGATTCTTTTATTCATATTTTTATACAATTTGTCGTTTTCTTTTTATTGTCTACGCAGATGTCCAAGAACACTATTTTAATAATCATACCGCTCGGTGCCGGGAAAAAATCCGTTTCGTATATCGCGCTAGGATCGGGCAATCGGACGCTACGGGAAGCAAAAACGATCTCGGAACTGCCGATCGCGATCAGGAAGGCGATTGCGGGCGATTGTTTGGATGACGCGAATCGACATAGGCGCAACGTTCCGTCGCCTTATCCGTCGATCGGGATTTTTTCGCAAGAAATGCTCGCGCAAAAACGCAGTGTCCAAGATAGGATTGCCGTCGAGCAATCGGTAAGTTCGTTCGATCGCGCAACACAGTTGCGTCGAATTAATTATAACTTAATGATAAAATGAAACAAATATAAATGATTGATATATAAGAAAACCTTGAGGTATATATATTTAAATCTCGTCGGTACATTAATCACGATTATCGATTAGGAAAAAAATAAACTCGACGACATGAGCAGTAAGTTTTTTTCATTGCATTTACCACTTGATTGTTACTCATTTTATTCTTGATCGTCGAAGAACTTCGTTCAAAAAAAAAAAAAGGTTTTTTATCCTTTCGACGTGTGAGCACATCGTTCAGTTTTTTTTTCTCTGATTCAGAATACAAAACGCACCGAGAAGACGAATATTCAAACGCAAGCCAGAAGCTCGACTTCGCCGAAGACAATGTCGCGCGACCTCGCTACGGGGCTCGGTATCGCGACCTCGATACCCGTCTCGGCCTCGTCCTTGACCTCGTCCTCTTAGGAGTCAGCAAAATACGACACGTTTTGAACTATTGCATTTCCTATTTTTTTTTTTTTCATCTTTTTCTTCTCATTCGTTTCCTCTCGTCTCGTAATTGCGAGGAAATATCATTCTCTCGAGAACATCTTTGATACTTTTTTTTTAAACGTTACAAAAGCAAATATAACTCGCGATTATAACTATAAAAAAAAGAAATAAATAAAAATACTGTTACAATATTTTATAAATGCTGATAAAATTTATGAATAAAACCGTTTACTTATGTAACACGTGTGCTTTGTGACTCATCAGACATTATTTATACTTATTATCTGCGATTGCGTTTTTTGCGCCGTTATCCGTGAAGTCAAAAATATATCAACGAGATAAAAAGCAACTTATAATGTGCCAAAGACATTTAAAGGTTGTTGATCGTACTTTTTGTACGAAAAAATGTTTGCAATATTCTGTTGACTCTCGTACGAACGTTTCGTCCTACTCTCACACGTTTTGTATCACGGGTTCGTGTTCGCGGGGTGAAAATTATTTATAAATATTTATTTAATCTGCGAACCGTGCGCAAAAGAAACTTTTTTCTGCCAATTTTGCTTCGATAATTAATTGCTTTTTATATGTGACGACATGTGTTGTATGGAAATAGGATTTCGAAATATCTAAAAAATATCTAAACTTTCATATCCTCCAATTAAATGCGACTCGAAGCGAAAATTTATGATAGTTTTAGTCTTGCATAAGTGTTCGAATTTGTGCCAAATTTCTTTTTGTTCACTTCGACAAAGTCGAATTCCCCGACGCAACGCGTTCTCGTATTATTGCTTCCAATAAACTCGCGGGACTCTTAGAGCAATACGCGCGTAAACTCACTCGCGAGTGTTTTTTTTTTTTTTTTTTGTTGTTTTGTTCATTACAAAATCGCGCGATTGCGCGAATGGCAATTTTCATATGCGCACGCGAATTCCTTCGGTCATGACGACGGTCGCCGCGTTCGCGTAATCTCGACGGCGGCGGCGGCGCGCGCCTGGCCTGGTGCAACAACAGACGTACACACTCGCAATTACGCTCGCGAAAGAAAGTAAGACGAGGGCACGAGCGCAGCTGTGATTAGTCACTGTAGCAATTCTATATACCACTCGGAAGTAAAACATCGAGCGCGAATACGCGATTTAAATTCCCTCCACACACGTGTGTGTGTGTGTGTTCTTACACAATAATGAGTCTGCGGCCAACTTGCCAGACCAGTTTGCACCTAGAAATTTGCATCGATTGCTCGTAAAAATAACACACTTTGTAACTTTTTACTTAGTTCCGTCTATCTAAAAATCTTTTTGTTATTAATTTGCGCGTCGTCTCAGGTTTGCGCGTCGTCTCAGGTTTGCGCGCGCGTGAAACAAAGTAATATTTTATACCGTGTATACGTAAAATAATATTATTACGAGCGTATTGTGGCAGTAATAAAGAAAATAACCTTCAAGAAGATAATTTCTTGATAAATAAACTATAAAAAACATACTATGTAGAGTAAAAACCTCTTAAAGGTGATTAATATTAATAAACTATATAATTTATTAGAAAAACAAATTGCGCAACTCATCTCAGCTCTGCGACGAATAATTACTTAATGAGATTGCTGCGATAATTCTGTTTTTAATTTGAGAACAACATTTTTCTATTTTCTCACTTGAGCGCGCGCACTAGGCGGTCATCAAAAAACAAGCGCGGATCGATCCTCGTAGTAAAAGAAAGTTTCGGCTTTTGATGTTTATCAGAGCAAAAAGTTTGGTTTTTTTTTTTATGCGCGCACCGGGAGCGCTCGCCGCGTGAGCAATTTTCGCAAGAGCAATTTCATGGAGTTTCTAAAATATCGCAGAAATATCATACCAAATTACCAGCCCGCGGTAATTTCATTTCGACGTGTGCGATTTGATTGCGAAATTATTGCGTACACGATGCGCAAGTCGCCCAGCACTCTAATCGATCATTTGTTTTTTTTCTCGTAAAGCAATGTTGCTCTAAGAGCGCGATACAGCGTAAGATTATAACACACTTTGTGGTAACGATTTTGTTTTTCAAATTAATTAGAGCTATAGAGATCGCGTGATACGATCGCGTTGTATAACAAAATAATATGATACTGTGATGTGATAATGTGTATAATAAATGCAGTACGTGCAGTAATATTAAAATAATGTACGTATAAAAATGTACATATAAAAAAAACTACATATTCTGCGTATGTGTGATATAATATAACAAAAAATTGTAGAACGTTTAGCAGGAACAATCGCAAAAAAACGCATTTATGTTAATCTAAGTGAGAGAATATTCTAGATGTTTGCATAAATTTGAATAATTGCTCTTTTGTACAAAAATATCCAAATCCTTATCATTAAAATGGAAAAACAAAACCACAGAAAAATTTCTCAAAATCTTCTCGTAAAATATATATCAGAGTCAGTATACTTTTTTTTTTTGGTGCAGTTCAAGTCGTCGCTGTTATAATTCTTTATTTTATTTTCATTATTAATTTGGCGAAGATTCTTCGATATGAAGGTAATTTAAATATACTCCTTGAAGACGATACTTTCTGAAATATTCTTCCTGCGATATCGTTCAGGTCATAAATTTTTGAAATTAAAAGAAACTTTAACGGTTCTCGATCGAGAATTTCTTTTGTTAAAAATTAAAATAAATTGCTTATTAATTTTTTTTTTCTATCTATCGTGTTCTATCGACAGCAGAAAGCGAGAACGTGAGAGTGGGGCATCCCGCGGTATAAAAAGGAACCGGTCCATGAGGTAATCGTTCACTCTGTTCTGTACACGTTTGCAGTCTCTTCTGAGGTCGCTGGCTCCGTTTATTTCTCTTTTCGCAACAATCCGAAAGTCGCCGTCGTCGCGATCGCGTCGCACATCGTGTCTCTGATATACGTGGATATTGCCTGATTATTAGTTAAGTAAGATAACCGTGAAATCTCTTCCGAGACATACATCCACCGTGCGTGTTTCCCTCTTTTGATTTTGTGTGAGAAAATCTTGCGTATTTTGCAGAAAGGTAAGTAATTAGTTCGCACAATTGTTCGACATATGTTTTTTTTTCTTCAGTCAATATATATTTAAATTATTAATAAATTTAGATTTTATTTTAAACGTCGATCTCGTCAAATGCAGCTAAGTAAATTTTAGCTACAAAAGTGGACGTATAAATATTCTGTGTGCTCATTAAGTTGAAAAACAAGTATTTAATGGGATTCTCATGAGTTGGCCTTTAGGTATTTCTGTTTCTTGTTGTTTTTTTGTTATAAATCTTTGCATATTTCGCAACTGCTCGTAGCGCTTGTCTGCTCTCGTGACTTCTTCTCAACTTTCTTTTTGGAGAACTCACATCTGTAATTTGTCCTCCAAAATGTAGAGAAGAAATCCGATCCGAATGGAATATTTTAAAAGATCAGAATAAAACATTGTTTTAGCTCATCAATTTTATATCGGTAAAAAAAAAAAAAAAAGACAATACGATTCCGCGTCGTTCCAAGTCAAATTTTATTTAATTTTCGGCACACAATTCCCGTTTAATTCCATTCTGTCACTTTCAAACTTTCCTGTTACTTTCACAACTCTTCTGCGTTTTATAGACCAATAATTGCGGCAGTGATGGTCCCGCGGCCAAGAGCGCTTACGTCATGACATTGCGGCAATAAGAGAAAAATTATATCCGAGTCGAAAAAGACAATCAGACAGTTGAGAAATATATGTTTTTGATTCTTGTGTTTTCTTTGTTTCGTCGAAAAAAAAAGACGTTCGTAATATCGATTTAATTATCGCTCGGATTTTGGCGATAACTCAAGCTCAAGTCTGTGAAAAATTTTCACACAGCCAGGAACAATACGTTCAATCACTCGACGGAAAGTATTTGTTCCTAATGTCATAATAAAAAAATAATTTACGCGGTTTTGTTGTAAAATAAATTTAAAATAAAAATAAATAAAAAGAAACTTTGTCGTCTGATAAGAAAAAAAAAAAACAAAACGAGCAATGAAAGATAAAGAATTAACAAGGACGTTCTCTCAAAAGCGTTAAAAAATGCAAGGTATTAGAGAAAGTTTTGCTTGAGCAAGTCGCTTTGGTCAGCATTAATTCCCCCGACTATAGAAACGATGGGTATCTTTTAATCGGTTGTGCAACGTCTTGTGCACGCATTATGCGCTCGTAATATATATATTACACGTAACAAAAACGGTCGTGTATAAGCATTCGCAGTCATAATCAGATCACCATTTGATTTTTATCTTACAGTGACTTAATTTCACGGTCTCTAGTTTAAAAAAATTGCGAGAGAACTTAAGACACACACACACACACTTTTATACGTTGAATTTGTTAGATTTCTCTTCGAGAAGATACACGTGCGCGAATTTGCGCGCTCGCTGGCGCGTAATTCCATATAATGCATTTTAATCCAATCTCTCTCTCTCTCTTTCTCCTCTCTCTGTAGATGTTGCTGATACAACCTTCGGGAGAAATATCAAAGCAGATTCAGGTGGAGCTGAATGAAAATCCAGCGACTCGTGACAAGGATCTCGAAGCGATCAAAGAGTGGTTCGCTAAACAACCTCACTTGCCACAAACCTTTGACGGTAATGCGCGTGTCATATATGTGTTTGGGAATATACGATATATCTCTCGAAATTAGAAAAACAATTTCTCACAAGTCAAAAGTTCAATCATCGCTCGAATTATCGTGTGATTTCTGTTGTCAGACGACCAAATAATAATGACGTTCTTGCGCGGCTGCAAATTCTCCTTGGAGAAGTGCAAACAGAAGCTGGACATGTACTTCACGATGCGCGCGGCGATTCCCGAGTTCTTTTCCAAGCGCGACGTTACATCGCCAATATTGAAAGAAATAGCGGATCATGTGTAAGAAAATCTCAAGACGATCGTTTGATAATTTATAAGATCTCGCGAAAACGAGAGAACGATTAAAAATTAGACCGAATAAGCAATAATTGTTCCTCGCTCATTTGTTTCCCTTTCGCAGACATATACCCCCGCTGCCGGGACTGACGAAAAACGGACGGCGGGTCATCGTGATGCGAACGGATCACAAACATTTCCCGACTCCGCCTATCGCGGAAGCTATGAAGGTGCAATTATCATTATTTGTCATTTAAAATTGAAAATTATTTGAGGAAAAAATAAACTGCGTAACAGCAGAGTTGATATTAGATTGAACCAAAATTCTCTCGTTCTTCAAGTTCTTAACTGTGGGCAAGTTTTAAAATAAATAACAACGTTTCAACATTGTGTAAAATTACACAAGCAAGTTAGGTCCAAAATTCAGAAAAAAGTGAGGATTTGAGTGGAAAAATAAAAGCGAATGATCGCAAGACGTATTTTGTTTCGTTAACAGCTGGTGCTGATGATCGGCGACGTGCGTCTGAAGGAGGAGAAGATCGGCGTGGCCGGGGACGTTTACATTCTCGACGCTTCCGCGGCAACGCCCGCACACTTCGCCAAATTCACGCCGGCCATTGTGAAAAAGTTTCTGGTCTGCGTGCAGGATGCGTATCCGGTCAAGCTGAAGGAAGTGCACGTGGTCAATGTCACTCCGTTTATCGATACGATCGTCAATTTTGTCAAGCCGTTCCTCAAGGAGAAGATAAGAAACCGGATCTTCTTTCATACCGATTACAAGACGCTTTACAATTACATACCAAAGGAGATATTGCCGACCGAGTACGGCGGAGACGCCGGACCTATCCAGGATATACATGGTACGATGATTCTTTATTTAATAATAATGGTAACTTTATTAAAGATGCAAAGAAAATTTTATTTAATGTACGAGAGAAAATTATATCAGAGTTTTCAAATGCCTCTTCACGACATTTGCACTGTAAAATTCTTCGATTCTTTTATGTTAGAACTTTAAACAAATGTTGATGATTTTGTTTTTTTTTTTAGATAACTGGATGAAAAAATTGGAGGAATACGGGCCGTGGTTCGCGCAGCAAGACGAGTTGAAGGCTAACGAGGCCTTGCGGCCAGGTAAACCAAAAACGCACGACGATCTGTTCGGTCTCGATGGATCTTTCCGGCAGCTTACGATTGATTGATTTTGATATAAAAGTCTACCGAGACTTTATTAGTTTTCATTCCGCTTTGTAACTGCGCAGCCGTAAATCTGTTTGTTGTTTACACTTTTTTTGCACTCCCTTTCGTTTTTTTTTGTTTTTTTACAAAAGTATGAAAAGTGTGAGCAACGCAGAAGATATTTCTCTATTAGTTCTCATAACGATCAATGTCACTACTCCGAAGTCGAACTTGACAATTGGGCGCTGAAAAAGTCAATTTTTAAAAAATGTTGTTTAATTACACATGTGCAATATATTTAATATTATATTGATTATATAATTAATTATATAATTGATAAGAAGAGTAACTTGTGAACAAAAAGTTTTTCAAGTTTATTTTTGAAAATTTTGAAAATTGTTTCTTTTTGCATAATACGTATTTAATTACTGTTTTAAAATAATATTTCTCATTTAATTATATGTGTTAACAAAAAATGTTTTTCTATATATAAAACTTTAAGTGATAAGATTTTCTTATGTACGATATTTTTTTATTTTTTATAATAATATTACTGAAACACAAATCCAATATCTAAATATTATAAAACAAAAAAAAACTAAACTGTCTATTCATACAATATCGTAAAATAATTTTTTTATATATTACTTAGAAATATATAGTTGTGCGCGATGTCCGCGCAATGAACAAAAACTTATATGTTGTTTCTAAGAAACCAAGTCATCATTTACATCACGTCGTTTGATTGATAATTTGCGACCATTATTTTTGTGAAATTTATCACTCGAGATGTGTCCGTCGTTTTTTATCGTCGTTTTACTCTAATAAAGGCAAATCTGTAATTGTGACAAAGTAAACGCTTCATAAATAAAATTTGCTTATCACGAGCGTAACTTGTACGTCGCTTTAAATATACTACGTTTTTACATGCTGTTGTAATTATCGAGCAGGTAGAAAAAACTTTCGTAAAAAGTGCTTTGAAGTGTTATTAATGACGTAAGTACAGCGACTATCTGTGGCTCGATAGTCCCGCGTTAAGTTTCTCGGATTTCATTCAGTGCGACAGTGTCGGAAAGATTGACGACACAAAACCTTTCTATCACGTGCGTCGCGATGAGTTTTTTTCGTCGATGATTCCTCAAAACGATTAGTTTTTGTATCACATTACGCGTATTATTTATCTTATCGACACAAGTTTGCACTCATTTTAAAAACGTATTATAAGATAAAAAAGAATAAGAGTATATACCGTCATAAGAGCCGTTTGCTGGATGATGTGCGGAAATATATGCGTGTATATATATGTATATATATACAGGGTGTCCCAGAATTGGTGTAACATCTCTCGTAGACAGGTAGAAGGAGTAAAACTTAGTCAATTAGTTCTATATTATTTTGCTAGATTCGCAATAGTCACCGAGATCTTAATTAACAAAGATCCGCGAATAAGCGCGCTTCGCACGATTACATTTTAATATGTATATGTTATAAAATATATGCTGCGTATATTAGCTCCACTCGTATGTTGCTACGGGTAACATCGTAAGCGCGCGAAGCTGTCTTACGCGCGCGTAAGATGCATGCTTATTCGCTGATCTTTGTTAATTAAGATCTGGATAACTATTACGAATCTAGCAAAATGGTATAGGACTTATCGGCTCAGTTTTACTGCTTCTACTTGTCTACGAGAGATGTCACACCAATTCTGAGGGGGACACCCTGTATATACGTGTTCACACGTAAGATTTACACGTGAACACGTGAACAACATCCAGCGAACATCGAGAGAAATAGAAGGAAACAGCAAATCTCACATTTCCCTCATTCGCTTTATTATGTTCGACATATCATATTTTTGTTCAGTATCGAAGAGAGAGCTCGATCATACACATGTGTCTGCCTTGTGTAAGAAATCGATAACTTTGATTTGTGACTAAATTGTATATAAGCGAGATGCGGCAGATCATTTTCATCACATTGATTACGGTGAGGTTTTTTTCGTCACGTCACGTTTGCGATACCGTTTTTTATTTTTATAACAAAACATTTATTTCCGTGTTCAGATCAAAACGCACAAAGTTTAAAAAAACGACATAACGTATTGCGTGTGTGCAGGTCTTCTCATTCTCGCTTTATTCTGTCATACTTGACACACCCAAAATTTCCTTTTTTTAATCTTATCGGTCACAAATATTTATCTATTGAAAAAAGACAACAAGAGCGGAGATAGAGATAGAGATAGATGGCTCTGATTTGAGTCACGAATGCAAGGTTTCCATATACGTGATTGTTACGTTTTATTGAAAAAGATTTGAGAACGTACATATAAATCCGATATAAAATACTAAAGTCAAAACAAAGTTCATCAAAACACGTTGAATAACGTATGAAAATATATTTCAAAGAAACATAAATAAATTCAAATCTAAACGCTCGCCCGGTCAAATCATAATATTTCTTGTACGTGTTGTGTGTGTGCGTGCGCGCGTATGTTACTAGATTTGACGCAATAATATAAAACTTGAATTGTGTAATAAAACGTATTGTATTAAGAGACCGTTTTAATACAGATTCTAACGTTTGCTTCGTGGACAAATGAAAAACATGTTGATAAGAAAGATGATTATGAAGTAAAACAAGAGTATGCAAAAGCATTAAGCCTTTCGTTGTTGTTCTTTGAAGCCCAGCGATCTGGTAAACTGCCGACAACCAACAGAATTCCATGGCGATACGATTCCTTGCTCAAACCGACTTCTCATTTGAACTTAACCGGAGGATATTATAATTGTAACAACCTATTTTGATATATAATTTAGCTTGCTCATATCACACCAAAGAGTAAAAATACATCACTCCTATTATTTATTTTTTTATTTTTTATTTATTCATAGATAGCACAATTTTATTCAAAACTATTTAAAAGACGTTAATGTTATTTTACGGTAACTTTATTGTTATATATATTCAGCGAGTAAAACATAAAGACACGAAATACTGAAAAAAATAAATAAAAGTAATAGATTCAAAAAACTATCAACGGTATATTATAAGATAATTAATAATAATTTGTATTATATAAATTTAAATGAAGTAGTCCACAAAAAAAAACTCGAACGGAACTGTGTTTTTATATCACGAAGAAATTAACAAAAGTTTTTCTTAATTAACCACATTTCTGATATTCCAGCCGGAATAAATTATGTTAAAAGTACTTTTCCAACTGCTTTCACAACGACGATGTTGGCTTGGGGACTGCTCACCTGGACGGAGGGATTTTATCTAGCGGGTCAATTAAATGAAATTTATGGAACTATCAAATGGGCTACTGATTATTTTATAAAATGTCATAGAGATAAAAATATATTTGTTATACAAGTAGGTAATATAACATACGAAGCAAACTATTGGGGAAGACCGGAAGAATTGAACTACGACAGACCGATACTTGAAACCAACAGTACTTATCCCGGTGGGTGTTGACAAATAATTCTATTATCTTAAACTTTTAAGATTTATTTAACGAGAAAAGTGTAAAATAATCGCTTATACAAAAAAAAAACAAGTATTCTCTTAATTAACGCTTTTGGTTGTAGCGTCGGATGTTATCGCCGAAACGGCAGCCGCATTAGCCGCCGCGAGCATCGTTTTTAAAGAAATTTTTGTCGATTACGAAAACAGCCGACTGTGTATTATCCATGCATTGCAATTATATAATTTCGCTGCAAATCTTAACGAATCTCATGACCTAAGATCCCATTGTGATCTGGTAGATTGCAACTTATCTGACTCAAAAATAAGCCGGGAATACGGCGACGAATTAGTATGGGCTGCTCTTTGGATTTACAGAGCGACTAAGTCCATATCATATTTATACATCGCTCAATATTTCTATGAAACGTTAGATGTCGACAAACTAAATCAATTCGTATCCTACGACAACAAAGGTGTTGCCGTTGAGGTAAAAATTAAAGATCTGAATTCAATAAGAGCAAATATTCTTCTAAATTCTGCGTCGAAATAAATGTTTTTATTTTGAAAAACATTTGTAATGTGAAAATTCTGTGCCGTTTTTGTGTTCATAATTTTCTTCAAAATTATTAAATAATTTTCTTACATATGTACATACATATCCACGCATAAAATCACACACACACGCACACATTGACACACTTGTGACTTCTTACAGCTGTTGTTTGCCGAGTTGACGAAAAAATCAAACCATATGAATAAAGTGGAAGACTTTTGCGACCACATGGTGACTGATTCTTCTATTTACACAAACAAGGGTCTTCTGTATGTTTCCAATAGACATACTCTTTCTTTTGCCGCTAACGCAGCTTTTGTTTGCTTAGCAGCAGCGTCTTCCGATGATTATCAAAGCAAATTTCAGTATTATAATTTCGCCGAGGAACAAATTGATTATATATTGGGCATATCAACAGGTAAGCAGAAGTATCAGAGAAAATATTATATATTGCGAAACGTTTAAGAATAGCTAATTGATAAATAAAATCGAAAACGCGGCGCACGGTTAATGCGCGGTTGAAAATATAATACGTACGGATTTTTTTATGATTAAGAATCGCTCCGATGTGTTTTTGAAAACAGGAAGAAGTTACGTGGTCGGATACGGCGAGAATCCACCAACTCAACCACGTCACAAAGCATCCTCGTGTCCGAGTTTACCGCAGCTCTGTGAATGGCGGCAAGCCGTTGAAGACAAACCAAATCCGCAGATTCTTTACGGCGCTCTGGTCTCTGGACCGGACTTCAACGATCATTTCGTGGATTATCGATATGGTAATGATACCAAGCTCTATACGGAGGTTAACATAGAATACAACGCGGGGTTCACCGGCGCACTCGCCGGATTGGTTGAGCTAAATGTCGACGATCTTAGAAACGTTTAGAATAAAAAGCCTACGTTAATATTATTTCTATCGAACAAACGTAAAAAATAATTTTTTAAACAAGACTGATAATATTTTGCAATCTGCACACGGCAGGACAAGTGTATGTTAATATAAAAATATACATTTGTACATAAATTTCTTTCAACGTTTTAGAGCGAAAGATTCTTATTACACAATTATGTTATGTATAAGAATATGTTTTTTATTATTGAAGTGTAAGGACTTATTTTTTTGTAAAAAATGAAAATATAATTCTTCTGTGAGAGAGAAAGAGGAATGAAGATAAAATTCTTCTGTATGTGTTGTATAACATTTTATACACGTGAATTTAACTTAACACCGCAATGCTATATATGTGGATTTATTCAGGAAGAATAATCCTTTATATATTCATATATATATATATGTGGTATGAGATATATGAGATTGAGACATACATATATAAACAACTTTTTTCCATGTAATATTACACAAGACCGTTTCTTTGGTTCTTAACAAAAAAATAAAACTATTAAAAAAATGTGAAAAAATAAAAAAAGATTGTAACATAAATTAATAAATAGTCCAACATACTTATGAAAACAATATTTTAAAGTTATTATTATTTATAAAAAATAAAAATTGACTATAGCTAAAAATATTATATAAAAATAACAAACATAAACACTTTCGCAAATGTTTATCATATTTTATGATAAATAGTTTCTGTTAGCGAAAAAATGACTGTTCTTTTATATCATGTCTGTATTCAAGAGTCATTTAGATTCAATAAAAAATAATAATTACACACCGGTCTGCTCATATTTATTTCTAAATACTTAAGACGCGAGTGCGCCCTTTCTACATTTAATTTAATTTAAATAATACATTTGATCTGACAGATAAATCATGTGAATAAAAGAAAATAGATAGCACGAGAGATAAAAGTGGGAGTAATACAAGAAAAAGAACAGCTCTTTCGTCTCTCGCTCATGTTCCATCCTATATCGTCAGTAACAAAGAAATAATTCTTATGCACGCTTCGTGTTTTCGCACAAGAAATCAATATCTCTGATTTGTGTCAAAATCATGTTTGTCATGATGCGGTTCATCTTAGTCGCATATATGTAAGAGTTTTTCGTTTGATGCTTTATTTTTTTACACATGTTAAATAACTAAAAGTTTTGAGAAAAGAACGAATCGAACATCGCTTGTAATACATTGCATTTGAAAAATTTCTATTCCAAACTAAATATGAATAATGTATTTTATACAACAATACGACACGTAATAATAATATAGTAACACACATATCTGAACATTGTGATCGCTTCGTTTAAATATGTAGGCCAATGTAGAGATGACAGTGCAAAAGTTTTACATAAATACGAAGATACAGATTATAAATTAAAAAAAATAAAGAAATCTATTTTTTATTTTATTGGACACAAGCGTGAATGTATTTCTATAGAAAACTCATGACCGTGTTGCAGTATATGCAGGAGACAAGTGTTAACTTAATTATAATTAATATTGCATAGATTATTTGTAAGACGTAAAAACGCATTGTAAATTATGGTTTTTATTATCAAAGAAATGAGAGAGAGAGATCTCTTCTTGTTGGAATGACAAAAATTTCTTTGCGAGATACGTTTCTTTAATAGGCATATATTGACTTATTATTTATTCGACAAAGTAGGATTTTATCTTCCAATTAATAATATTATTTAGCTGCTCTGTACAGTAAAACATGTTGCACGTGTGAAATTGACGCGACATCAAAGTGTAACATATAGTATTTGTGCACACAGTATTTTTTATATAAAACTAAGTTTTTTTGCACTTCAAGCGATTAAACATGTCAAAATATTAAGTGCCCAAAAGTAGTACGTAAAAAAATTTTTATATACATACAATTATATGCGTACTGCACAAAAAAATTACTGTTATTATTTATAAAATATAACTACCATGTTCTCTATACCTGACATGCACAAGATAAATGTTTTACGTTTTTTGCGCCTGTTTGAAAGAAATTTGTTTTAAATAAAAATTCATTTTCGGCAATATATACACTGGTCCATATATATATTATATTTATTCCTTAATAAGCCCTTTAACCTCTGATTTTAGATATGTAAATAAGTACCATGTATAACTCATACACGTACAATATATTTGAACTCACATAATCACAACAACAAGTGAGTAAAGAAGAAGGGAAGAAGAATAAATGATTGGATCGAGACATCGCAGTGGGGTGAAAACGGCAAATCTCTTCTATCCATTAGTTGTTTTCCACTTAAATCCTGTCGGATTTCACACGTAAGGATACATCATTCGCGTGCATGTTTTGTGACCGTTGTGTGAGATATAAGAACTCTTTTTACTCGCGCCTAAATCGCAGCAGGCAAAATGCAACTAATCCTTCTCATATTTTCTACGGTGAGTTTTCCGTATCGCGTTAATTTTATCGATATAAGTCTCTTCACTTCGCATCCGTTTATTTCCACAGCAAGAATCATTAACATAGAGCACCTCCCTAAAAAATAGCAAGGTGAAAAAAGGATTAGCGATATATGTATCGAAAAATAATTATAAATATTTTACATCTTTTATATTCTCGCGCCAACATACATTGTTTTTGTTTACGTAGATAGTTGTAAGTTGTGGATTAAAGAACAAATGTGTGAATTTCGCGAACCAACCGTTTAATATGACGCTCCTGTGTGTGTGTAATTAGTAAATAAAATAGTATCGACGTAAAACATGTATGTAAAACTAAACAATCGTAGTGTTAAACGACTACTTCCGTATTATTACAGATTCTACCGTTCGTAACATGGACACTTGAGATACATCCTAGGTATAATGAAATAATACAGAACGATGAGAACAGTTCTCAAAAAGATCTTCAAATCAATCAGACAAAAGCCATAGAAATGTATTCTATGGCCTTGATGAGTTCGTTCTGGTTCTTTGAAGCACAGCGTTCTGGTAAGATGCCGTTAAACAACAGGATTCCATGGCGAGGCGATTCCATGTTGCACGATCACGGCTATCTCGGAGAAAATCTAAGCGGAGGATATTACAATTGTAAATATCTTATAATTTAATAATTGTTTTCGCCCATATATTGTACCGGATTAAAGAACAAGTTCACAAACAACAAGAAACAATGTCACAATTTGCGCTAAAAAGTAAATTGATTTTCGTATAAAAAGATATCGATGTTTAAAAATATCAATTATGATCCAAACTGTTTCACATTACGAGAGTTATAAAGTAACTCTGTTTGTTAACTTATTTTTTTTTTGTTTTTGTTTTTTGGACGAATTTTTAGCCGGACTCACGTATGTTAAATATGTTTTCCCAACGGCTTTCACGACGACGATGTTGGCATGGGGTCTGCTCACCTGGACGGAGGCTTATAGAAACGCGGGCCAATTAGAAATAGTTCGTGAAAATATTAAGTGGGCTAGTGATTATTTTATAAAATGTCATCCACAAGAGGAATTATTTTATGTACAAGTAGGTGATGAAATGTTTGAACGTAGAGTTTACGGAAGATTGGAACAGATGATATACAAGAGGCCAGCGTACGCGGCTAATTCTACCAATCCCGGTAAGTGTCGCGTGTGGGTTTTATGTTTCTCTACACACTCCACATATATTTAGTTTTTTCGATAACAGTACGAAAACATTCTTGTATAAACTATGTATTATATTGTATATGCGGTCTGTGGAGAGCCGTTCGCTGGATGCTGCGAGGAAATATGAGTTTTTCTCGCAATATTTTAAAAGCAATTAGAGGGGTATACAAGGTCTCTCATATGTGAGACGCAAATATAGCATTCTATATGAATTGAAGAATTAAAATCTCAATTCGAAATTACGTGTTAGATTTACACCTGAACACGTGTACATATATACACGTATATTTCCGCACAACATCGAGCGAACGGTTCTCATGACCGCATACACAATATACTTATAGTTTGAAAAACTTCAAGAGAACTTAAAGATTCTCTCTATTAATTCTGTATAAAGTTATACAAAAAAAAAAACCAACTTTCTAATTGTTTTTTCTTGTTTTTCTCCCGTTTTTCTCGTTTATAGCAACTGATATTCTCGGTGAGGTAGTAGCCGCATTGGCAGCCACGAGCCTTGTGTTTAAAACCATTTTTGACGACACGCGGTACAGCGATACGTGTCTCACTCATGCCAAACAATTGTATAAACTCGCATTGAAGTACAAAGGCTCTCATTACGATTGGATGCCTAATATTTACGGTTACGAAATAAATAGTTATAGCTATCACGACGATCTGGCATGGAGTGGTCTGTGGCTCAGCAGAGCAACTACGGACTCCAATTATTTTCATGATGCTCAGCACTATTACGAGGAATACAATCTTGCGACTAACAATACAATATTCAACTATTACAACAAAGTACCCGGTATTGAGGTAAGAAACCAAACTTAAATACACGCATACACGCACACAAAACGCATACACACACGCAGAATTTCTCACAGGTGCTGTTCAACCAGATAATATCGTATCCAAAATCCCCACATACGAAAGCTGTCCATAGATATCTCGATACATTGATAAATAATGTGACGCGCACGAAAAAAGGACTCGCGTTCTTCTCTGACGATGATACTCTTTCTCTCGCAGCCAATGCAGCCTTTCTCTGCTTGATAGCGTTATCGTCTAACAACAAGATGAATTTATCGCACAAATATTACGATTTTGCCAAAGAACAAATCGATTATATACTAGGCATGAAAACAGGTAAGAGAATCAGAGAAAGTGCAAAATTGCAAAAGATACGAAACTAGTATACACAAACGGCATACGCGATTTAGAATGTGCAGTTGGAAAATAGTACACAAATATAGATTTTACGATATATATGAATGTTTATCGTTGTTCGTGCTCAGATCTTTGATTTTTTATAAATTGAATAGAAAGAGATTACGTGGTTGGACTTACCAGTAAGTCGCCAACTCAAATACCTCACAAGGCGTCTTCGTGTCCAAAATGGCCAGCTAATTGTGGACACACAAAAATGATGAGTAATGAACCGAATCATGAGATTCTTTACGGTGCTTTGGTCAATGGGCCGGATGTGCATGACCATTTCGTTGATATTCGATTCAACAAAACGGATAAAGCGTACACGAAGATTCGTATAGACTACAACGCGGGATTTACTGGCGCGCTCGCTGGATTATTACAATTAGATGTCACATGGAACAGGGATATTTCGTCTACCTCGTCTACGCAGAGGATATCTAATCGCACATTGGATTATAACTCTATTATGTGGAAAAGGATAATGAGAACATAAGATGATAATGACACAAGATGGTTTTAATGTAAAAAAATTTACGTTTTTAAGTAAAGATTGCTTCAATTTTAGCGCGACAGATTCTCTTTATATAATCACAGACCGTGTGTGACGGAAAAAAAGACACTGAATTATTAAAGCGCTCGGATGTTTTTATTTTTTTTTTTTTACGAGAACGATACAAATTGCTATGCGAGTCTCTCATTTCTGTAAATGTTCTACCGATGTGATCCATAAAATGGGAGTTTATATCTGACAATGAGTAACACATTTTGTTTTTAGATGTAACGTATTTTATATAGAAAATTATATGTGATATTAAAATGCCATATAATATATGTATATGTACATACATAATATTGTATATGTGATACTGGTGATTCATATACTAAAATAATAAAATTGAGAGAAAAAAACTAGATAAAAGAAAAACGCAATCTTATGTAATGTATAAAAATACCATGTGTGCATCTTTTACAAATTGTTATTACATGTTATATATATATATACAATTTCTATATTTATATATATACAATTTCTAAAAAAACGAAAATAAAGCATTTATGTTTGATAACGCATTCAAAGAACATTTGTTTTTAATCAAAATTAATTGGAGATGTTATCTATCCCCGCTATTTTTATTGTCTACACACTTCTTATAAACTTGTATATACCCGAGAAAAAATGGATTAGATCTAACTTAAATTGAACGAGACAAAAAAAATGAAAAAACAGATCTAATTAGATCCAAATTAAATCTAAACAGATATAAAGTAGATCTAAATAAATATAAGTAAATCTATGGAAATTTACACACTTTTATTTATTACTAGATCTATTCTTGATCTACTCAGATCTATTATATTAGATCACCTCAGATCTGTTCAGATCTGCTCAAATCTAACTCAAATCTGAGTAGTTTTAATTATAGTAGATCTGAGTAGATCTAAAGTAGATTTAATAATATATAAAGGTGTAAATTTAATAGATCTGCTTATATTTATTTAGATCTACTTTATATCTATTTAGATTTAATTTGGATCTAATTAGATCTGTTTTTCCATTTTTTTTATCTCGTTAAATTTAAGTTAGATCTAATCTATTTTCTCCCGGGTAATATATTGCTTTTTTCTTGCAGTTATACTCTCATGTAAAATTGAATTGAGGAGAGACAAATTTAAATACACTTCTATCTAATTTCAATTTATGTGTATAAAATAATAAAGTTATTGTTCGAATATTGTTATGAAAATTACAATAAAAATAGTTTCTACGAAATTAAAATCACTCAAACAACATGAGAAGAAGTGGGAAAGAGACCGATAATGTTATAGGCGCTAGGAACAGAGAAGTGGGGTGATAGCACAAAGGGCAAACTTCTCATGTCTAAGAGTCTATATGTTTTCCACTGCTCACATCTTGTCCAGTATAAAGGAAACATTGACAGAAGAGACGTTATCCGTGTAAGCTTTGTGACTGCCGTAATACAGTAGAATCTTGTATGATATTAAGATCTGTATCACACAATAGACAAAATGCAGCTCATCTTTGTCATATCTTTTGTGGTAAGTTTTCTTCGTCGTTAGTCACGACGTTATATAGATCTCAAATCTATATAGCCCGTTTGTGTTTATAATAAGTCGTTGACACATGGCGACTCTCCGATAAACAGCAATGCAAAACGGGAATTAAATACTATATATCGACAAATAATTCTAAATAATTTTCATCTTTCATTCTTGCGCCAATATCGAATTTGATCGCTGATGTAAATATCGTCGACCTTTATCGAGCAAAGCGAGACACACATTGTTTTTGTTTACGTAGATAATTGTAACCACAACTTACTACGTAGTAGTGGATTAGAGGACAAATATGAATTTCGCGAAGTAATCGTTTAATTATTTGCTCGTGTGCGTGCGATCGTAGCAGATAGAATAGTTACTGACATCAAAAATGTATTATATATCACAAAGTCAGTGTATTAACCGATGTTTTTTTTTTTCTATTTTGATATAGATTCTAATGTTCGTAACATGGACGTTTGAACTGCATCCCAGGCGGCGTTCTAGTAGAACGCAGAACAATATGAATAAAAATCAGAAAAATCTTCGAATCAATCAACCAACGAACATGGAGGAGTACGATTACGCCTTAATGATTTCGTTATGGTTTTTTCAAGCACAGCGTTCTGGTAAGATGCCGTCAAACAACAGGATTGGATTTCGACACGATTCCATGTTGCACGATCACGGCTATTTTGGAGAAGATTTAAGCGGAGGATATTATTATTGTAATTATCTTGAATGACTGAACTTTTATAATTTTTTTTTCTGTGCCCACATGTTGGAATTGATTAAATAACAGTGTTTAAAAAATGTCCAACTGTGTGTTTTTTATATTACAAGAGTTGTGGAATAACTTTTTGTTTTTTTTTTTTTTTTAACTTATTTTTCTTTTGAATTTTCAGCCGGAATCTCGTATGTTAAATATGTTTTCCCGACGGCTTTCACGACGACGTTGTTGGCATGGGGAGTGCTTACCTGGACGCAAGCTTATAGACAAGCGCACCAATTGAAAACAATTCGTCAAGACATCAAATGGGCTACTGATTATTTCATAAAATGTCATCCACAAGAAGAATTATTTTATATACAAGTAGGTGATGAAATGTATGAACGTAGGATATTTGGGAGACCAGAAAACGTAGAGTACCACAGACCAGCGTACGCGGCTAATTCTTCCCATCCTGGTAAGTATCGAAAAAAAACAAAAACAAATGCGTGTGTTTTTGTGTTCGTTTTTTACTCGATATTAGATTCTTCGACGATAGTACAAACATTTCGTATGAATTTATGTAAAAAAGAAATGTCTAATTGTTTTTTTCTTGTGTTTCTTGTTCGTAGCAACTGATATTCTCAGTGAAACGACTGCCGCGTTGGCAGCCGCGAGCATTGTGTTCAAAGACATTTTTAACGATACGCATTACAGCAACGTGTGTCTCACTCATGCCAAACAATTATACAAATTTGCAATGAAATACCGAGGCTCTCATTACAAATGGATGCCTAATATTTACAGTTACGAAATAAATAGTTATAGCTATCACGACGATCTGACATGGGCTGCTCTGTGGCTCTACAGAGCAACCAGACTCAAATGGTATTTGGCGGATGCTGAAGACATGTACGCGAGGTACGAGCTGGCTACTAATAATGTAATATTCAACTATTACAACAAAGTACCCGGTATTGAGGTAAGAACCGATCCTGATTCGCAATTTTTAACCGATCAAATGAATAAAACGTAAATTACGAATTCAAAAAAAAAAAAAAAACCGAATCGCATTTATGGTTTTCAAAAGTTACATTGTTTACACATCGATGTTGGTAAATAATTAATTAAACTTCTGTTTCACATATTATACAACAGTTTACGAAATCTATTTGTTGTCTTACTCCATTTTATCGCGAAGACCACCAAGTAGATTGTATATATTGTTTTACACTCACGTACCACATCAACACGCACACACACGTTCGTTACATGATTCTGACTTCTCGCAGATGATGTTCACCGAGTTGACAATAAATTCAGCGCATGAGAATGCGGTGAAAAACTATCTTAACACAGTGATAAATAAGATAATACGCACGGGAAAGGGACTTGCGTTTTTCTCTGACACTGATACTCTTCCTCTTGCAGCTAATGCAGCCTTTCTCTGCTTGATAGCGGCATCTTCTAATGTAGAACACTCGGACGAACCTTACGCTTTTGCTAAAGAACAAATTGATTATATTCTAGGCATAAAAACAGGTAAGAGATTTAAAAAAAATAAAAAAATTAGAATATATTGGAAATAGGTTTTACGATATATGGAGTTTTATCATTGCTTGCTCGAAAAACTTTGAACTTTTTTTACAATTGAACAGGAAGAAGCTACGTAGTCGGATTTAGCAGTAGCTCACCAACTCACATATCTCACAAAGCGTCTTCGTGTCCAAGGATGCCACGTAACTGCGGTATTAGGGAAATAACGAGCAATGAGTCAAATTATCAGGTTCTTTACGGGGCATTGGTTAATGGACCGGAAAAGAATGACGTTTTCGTCGATGTTAGATTTAGAGAAGAGGGTAAATCACATACGAAGGTTCGCATAGACTACAACGCTGGATTTACTGGCGCGCTCGCTGGATTGTTGCAATCAGACATCAACTGGAACAGTAGTACTTCTCTTAACCAGCATTATAATTCTTATGACACGGTATATAACAAGAATGGTAACAGTTCGTGGTCTAGGAGTAGCATAACAAGAATGTTAACGTAAAAAGATTTACGTTTTTAAGCGAGGAAATTGCTTCAAGTTTAGCCCGACAGATTTGTTTTTTTTTTTTTTTTTTTTTATTTTTTATCAGTCTGATTTGTACGCTGTAAATCAGATTGCGAGTACGCGTAAGAAGACACTGAATTATCGAAGCGCTTCAACGTTTTTATTTTTTTTACGAGGACAGCCACAAACTGCTTTTTGCACAAGTTACAAGTTCTGTAAAAGTTCTAGCGATACATATACCATAAAGCGGGATGTTGTCTGACAATGAGTAAATTACACAGCCACACAAAAAAAAAAATTTCTTTGGCCTGGGGATCAGACCATGTTTATTATATGTTTTTGGGGTCGCTGAATCCGAATCCGAGGTCCATTAAACCCTATCGGGTCGGGGCTCCGCCATAACCTCAAAAAACACCATAATCTGAGCTCGAAACCCATATAATCTTTTGATTCAAGCCATAAACACAAAAACCAATTAGATAAACCCCAT